TCCTTAGATCCTTAGATCCGTTCCCTTATAAAGGGATCCAGGGATCTAGGGATCTATCACGTGACCTATTATCTACCGTGATCTAGGTAACTATTACTACTAAGCGTGAGTATATAGCGGTACTACTCGCTATCCTATATTATTCCCTAGTTAGTACTACCCTATTAATAGCACCGCTCCTTCATTAGTACTAATACCCCTATAGTACTACTAATAGTACTATCAGTATCTGGGTGCCAACCGTAGCGCTAAGGGGTTCGTAATAATAAGAAGCTAGTCCGAGTTAGGAGTGTTCTTAACGACTAGCACGACGCTTAGTAGTCGGATTATATAGCTAAGTCCCGTGACTTAGTTAGATATTCAGGGTTAATATAAGAGTGTTAGGTAATAATAAGTACTTATCTACTTTTAGCTAGCCTTGTAATTCTAACTAATAGTAAAGCTAGGCGATTCTAGCTTTTAAATAACACTAGGCTAAGTGTAGTCTTATAACTTCGTATAAGTTATCTATTATCGTATAACTAAGTAAGTAGCGCTAGTAAAGTAGCGATAATAAGAGTTAAAAAATAAAGGCTCGCTTAGAGTAATAAGTATAAGTCGTTAGGATATTATTACGCTATCACTAGTAGTATGATTTAAACTTAATATAATATAATAGCATAGTTTAGCGTTAGCTAGTATATAAGCGAAATAACTACGGATTAAGTAATAACCTCTCTATTAGCGCGAATATTAAGCTAAGAAGCCCTTGATTCCGTGGAAGGCGCTTAAGCCTATATAGATAAATTCCCCGGGCTATTCCCGATTAGGCCTAATTACACTTAACGTAAAACTTGACGTAAACTCCTATAGTAGCGTAGAGCTATTTCCCTTTGCGTATAACTAAGTAGGTAACTATTAGTAAACCTCTTCAGAGTTAACTGAGCTCTACCGAGTCTTACCGAGCTTTACCGAGCTCTAGACTCTTCCTAATCGGGTATAGTAAAGAAGTAGTTACCACTACCTTTACATACTTTTATATAATTTCTTTACTAAGATTAAATTTATACTTAGCTTAGAAATATAAAGTATATTATCTAGAAAATAAGAAGTTCTATCTATTGCCTTAACTAGTATAACTTTATATATATATAAGTATAATATCCCTCTCTTAACTTAGATACGGACTTTAGATATAAGTCTTAGTTCCTTAAATAAGTAGAGTTAGTTAGTTATAGATAAACTTATACTTATATTAACTACTTAGTTTTTAGAAGTACTCTTATAGATTAACTCTTTAGATAATATAATCTTTTTAGTAGTATTATCTTCCTTATTAGAAGAGGTATCTTTACTAATGCGATTAGACTTATTAGATATATTATTATCTGAATTATATACTATTATATAACTCTTTCTTTTATATTTAAAGTAATAAGATAAAGAGCTTTTCTTAATAAGCTTAGAGCGATTCTTTTAGTTAGATTAGAAGTAAAAAGTCTTATCTTTAACTTATAATCTAAGCTTATATATTAGCTTAGCTTATTCTCTTTTCTCTTTCTTTAGCTAGAAGTTTCTAGTATATTCTCTACTAGTAGCTTAAAACTTATAGTTAGTAATAAAATAATCTTTAGATCTATAATAGTAGTATTCTAGAGTAACTCTAGTTATATTATAATCTAATAAACTATTATTTTAGTAAGAGTAGTAGTTAAAGTAATAGTATATTTACTTATATTATTACTAAGTAGTATATACTTATTCCTTACTTATACTTTATAGCTTTAGATCTTATATATAAGATTCCTTTTCTTATAAGATCTTAACTTTCTTATTAACTATTAGAGATTATTAAGTTAAGAAACTATTTACTATAGTAATATATTAGCTTTACTTTTAGAGAGCTAAGGTTAGTATTAAGAAGAGTACTTCGTTAAAGTATACGTTTTTTATTATATTATTTACTATAATAATCTTCCGTTAGTACTTTTTTAGCTTACTCTATAATCTATTAATACTAATATCCTTATTAAAGGTAAAGTTTTAAATACTTATTATATATTAGTTAGTAGTTAATAAGCTAGTCTTATTATACTTTAGCTTTAATTATATCTAAATAATAGAAGTAATCTTATACTTATTAACTAGTATAATATTATTTTTACTAAGTCTTTCTAGTATAATTTCTAAGGCTTTTATATTATTTTAGTTCTATTTCTTTACTTTATTAAGGTTTTATATTTCTTTAAGTTACTTAAATCTTATAATAATCTCGTTTACTCTTAAGTTAGATAATATCTTAGAGGTAGTAGTTTTAGCTTTACTCTCTTTTTCTCTTAGGATTTATATATATTTAGTCTTAGTTACTTTAATAATATAAAAGATACTTTTACTCTTAATTTTAATTTTTATATAGTAAAACTAGTCTTTATAGTACTTTCTACTTAAAGTTAGTAAGTACTTATTATCTCTTCCTATTTTATATATCTATTAATATACGGAAATTAATACTTTTTAACTAAATAGTTTTTATATATATATAATTAATAAAAGGTTTTAATATATTATTAACTTAGAGTTATATAGAAACTATACTTAATTTTATAATTATAAGTAGCTTTCTTTATATACTACTTAATTTCTTATATTTATATAGAGTTTCCTCTAAAGTCTATAAGTCGTGCGGTTATTATAAGATTTCTTTTAGAGCTTATAGGTTATTTAGTTAGTTACGAGAGTACTTCTTACTTAGCTTCTTAACTTATTATTATTAGTACTCTTACTTAGCCTCTTAGCTCTTCTTACTTAGACTAATCTCTTTTCTTACTTTAAGAGGTTTAAATCGATTACTTTACTTTTATTAATTCGCTTATCTTAATTCGTTTACCTAAGGCTTATAACTTATTAAAAGGTATAGCTTACTATATAGTATATTTATAGAGCTAAGTAAGAAAGACTAGATAATAGTAAATAAGATTATTTATATTAGATAGTAGAGTTAACTATAATTAACTCCTCTATTTTATTATAAGTTTTTTACCTCTAGAAAGTATATCTATAGAGCTATATAGAACTATCTACAGAAGAAGCTATAATATATAAAGAGTTAAGTGCCCTTAACTAGGCTATCTTTAGCTTAGTAGTACATATGATATCTAGCCTGAATCCCTTTATATTCTAATACTCTTTATACTTATTAATAACTTAAGAGAGTAGCTTTTTAGCTTTCTAAAGGCTTTTAAACTATTCCTTCTCTACTTTTACTCAGATTTAAAGCTATAAGTCTTTAACTATACCTCTACTAAAAGCTTAACTACCTTTTAATATATAATAAGAAGTATTTTACTAGTTTATATACTCTTAGAGCTTTTATTATAATAAAGCGTAATTAGTAGTATTTAAATAAGCTTTATATAATTAAACTAATATCTCCTTTATTATTAACTAAAAAGCCTTAATCGTATTATCTGAAAACTAAGTAGGATCCTTAGTAATAAAAGACTCTATAATTATTATTATTCTTTAAAAAGTCTCCAAAGTATTAAGTACTAAAAGTTAAAGTAATTTCGTATTTATTACTATAAAGACTTTACTTTTTATAAAACTCTTAATATCCTTAATTCCTACTTTATAACTTAAAAGCTATATTTCAGATTTCTTAAATATATTATAAATAATATACTATTAAATAGTTTTTACTTATATTTTAGTAATATCTTAGAAAAAGGAAGTAATAGTATACTAAAGGTCTAAAGAATATAAAGCTAAATTAATAGTAAAAGAGTAGTAATACTTCTATAAGCGAAATATACTAATATCTAAAAGTTATAATATATATATAAGATAACTAAGAAAGTACTAAGGTTAAATATAGTTCTCTTTAAAGAGTAGTTAAAAAAGTAAAAAGTAGTAAGACTTATAACTATCTAAAAGTAAGAGCTTCAAGTTCTACAGCTTATTCAGTCTTATATATATATATTTAATTAAGTAGCGGCTATAATTTATAATAAAGGTATTATTAATATAATTAAAAGAAAAGAAGTTAATATATTTATCTCTAAGAAAATTCTTAAAAATCTAAATCTTTATAATATACTCTTTAAGAGCTATTATAAATAAAGGTAATATTTACTTTTTATCTTTACAGATTATTTTTATAACTATAATTTACTTCCGGCTTTCTTATATAGCTATTTAAAGCTTTAAAATAGCTCTAGAGACTACTACTTTCTTAAAGGTAAGATAGCTAACTTAAATACCTAATTTATTTATATTTAACACTTAATAGCTATAATATATCTTAAGCCTTACTATCTCTTATTTAAGCTCTTAAAACCACTCTTAAATAGCTTTAATATTATATACCTCTATTTATTTAACTTTTATAAGTATAGTCTTAATTATATAAAGTTTAGGGTAGCTTTAAAGCTAAGAGGAAAACTAGTATTTTAATAGTAAAGGATAAAGAGACCCTTTAGATTATATAATATTAGTAGATATTTATTAAATTAATATATAAGACTTACTAAAAAAAAGTGATTAATTACTACTTTAACTATTAGATAAGTTACTTTTAAACTAACCTCTTATTACTTATAGTAATACCTTATAATAGCCTCTTTTTAAATCTTTAAAAGAACTTTATTATAGCTACCTTTTATAAGAGCCTCTTTACTTAATATACTTAACTAATTACGTCTCTTATAAAAAGCCTAACTTATAAAATCCTCTTTTATATTAAATATACGCGCTACTATTATAGGAGTTTTAGTAAAGTACTTTAAACCTTATTTAAAAGCCTTAGTAAAGGTATTATTATAATTAGATTTTATAGTATACTTACTAAAGTACGCTTTTAAGTAAAATATATTATAATAGTAATTTATAATAAATAAATAAGTATAGTTAATTATTATTAAGAGTAATAATAAAATACGCGAATTTACGTGTAAAAGTGAGGCTTAGCGTGTTCAGTGCGTGACACTTTTGCTTACTCGTGACACTTGCTTGCCCCGACTATACGCGAGCCCCGAGCAAAATAAGAGGTGGGCCGGCTAGTATACTTTTATTACAGGCTGCTGGTTGGATCTGGGGACCACCAGGACCTCGAGGGGAAAGTGAGAGTCCAGGCTCTGGAGACTCTCAATGCAGACAGAACCAGAACCACTTCGGAGGATCGGGCATGAAAACGACCTGACCAGTTACGACTGCTCATCTGCAGAAAGGGTCTGCAATGGGGGGCCTTTGTACCACTACCTACTACTTGGTAGGTAGGTAGGTACCTTAGACTCTGCACATTGTGGCTGGCATGGATGGATCATGTGATGCCTGTTACAACCCCCACTATATAATACCACCAGTGCCTTGCCCCACTCGATACTACCTCTCCCACGCCTCTTGTCGCTTCAAAGGAGGAGAATTGCATATAAGCAGACTCCAATTGGGTTGCCGAGTCCATTATCATCATGCCCTGGTTCGCCTGGTCCGGCTACTCTTGACCAAGCCATGCTCGCCATGTCTCCGTTGGCGAATACGAGTACAAGACCAAGACCTTCCTTAGTGTTGCTAAAACTCCATGAATGTCTCTTTATGATCGACTTAGTAGCTTAGAGACCAGTCTCAAGCTAACGTCTGTCCAAAACCGCGCTGTTGTAGCGGCGTTAATCATTCAACTTTCCGTGTTTTGGGATGTGTCGGCTCATCTGGGATATATACGTCCCGGGAGGGCTTCCTTACACAGCATGCCACAGCAGAATCGTGTCGTCGGAAGCTGACCAAGCGTATCAGTGAATGTGAACAGGACCTGACGGGACTATCCTTCATAAGCCCATGGATATGGTACAACGGGTAGCGATGAAAAAAGAGGACCTGTGTTGACTTTACTATAAATCAGCCGAAACTCACCCATCATATGATCAAATTATTTGTTTACCACGGTCTCCAATTGTTCGTAGTCCTATTTCTATTAGAAAGAAAAGGATATCAATACTCAAGCGTATAGATAGGAACCCGGATATCCATTTTGATTATAAACATGGAATTGAGAAGAAAGACAATGAGATGCGAGGACTGGTGCCAATGTCCGCTCCCTGATCCCTTGATACGCCAGCCTTGGATATGTAACAAGCAGAACAACATGAACAAGCTGGCATGCCAGGTGATGAGCATTGAGAAGGTGGAAAGTAGATTCTCAATAGAAGAGTCGAGGCTCGCAAAAACTTCTAAGAACAACGTGAGAGGTTATCAATGAGAGATTGCTTGTGAAATCGATATGAATACATATATAGACTAAGAGCTGTTTAATCAGCCCATAAATACTTGCTGCACTTCGTATACTTAGGGTGCGTCTTTAAAAGTCAGGAAAAATGGCCGATCATAAGAAAACGCAGTCATACAGCCCGGATGACCTCCGAGCATCTATGTATATGTAATGTACAATTGTAATACAATCACCCTCAAGAATCGGTAGCTTGGCCCCCCGAAGTTCTTGTCATTGGGAGAGGGGTGGGCATTATAACATCTCTTATTTAAGAGTGTCCTCTTGACCGATCAATCCAGGTCTTCCTTTGTCGGCGTCGAAACAGACGCATCAGACTATGATGACTCCTTGGTAATTTGAAGCCTTTCTCCAAGCTCTTCCAGCTCCTCCTCCAATTCTTCGGGTGTGGTTGGTATCATACCGTCTGAAGCTGGCGAGTCCTCGAAATCATGCCTTTCCTCGTTCAGTACCTCAGTGTGTGCTGCATTCGTCTGATTATCGTCTTCTCTGCCCGGGTTCGATCCTGCCCCATCCAAGCCGATCTCAGTTATGTCATATGACTTTTCAAGATCCTCTCGGCCTATTGCCATTTCTGTTTCTTGCTCTCCACGAGATGAAACAACAGCTGAGCCAGACCCTGATGGAAGTGAAGACTCGTCTTCTTCGAGATCTTGAGCAGCCGCTCTCAAAAGTGCATCCTCTTTAGCGGCAGCTTTAATGGCTTTCATTCTCAAGAAGTTGCGTGTCTTCCTCTGTGCTTCGGTCCAGGATACTTCTCCTAGGCACTGATCGATCTTTTCCTCAATCAAACTTTTGACGTGAAATGCCAATGCTTGGTTAGTGAAGATACCAGCGAAACGATAACTCAGCCAAAGATAGAGCGTGATGGCTCTATGCAAGGCTTCTGCTTTTCGCAAGTAGCCCTTGGTGCCGTCTACATCGTCGTGGATATCCTTGTCAATGAGCTCTAGGTCAAAGCACTGCAATTCAAGGAGAGCCCCCTTTCTTTTCTCTGCAATGCATTGTGCCAATGATTTGACCACATCCACCATACCATTGTCTCTCACACTGGCCGGTGAGCTCATGAGAGTGATACGATCCATAACCGACAGGTCAAACTCTTGGACGAGGTCAGCTATCTGGATTTGTTCCGTGAGCCGACAAAGGTGGAATTGAGGGTGAAGTGAGGCTATATTATGCAGACGAAGGACAATGTAGCCGAACGGTGTATTTGGCGGGAAGTAACTAGCAAAGCGAAAAAGAATGTCGGCTGGTGGGAAGATTCCTACTGAAGACAAAGGCTCTACTTCGGTTTCCATCGCCTCACGTACAATACTAAGATCATATTTGGTCAATGCCGTTACGTAGCCCATATTTGTGGTTGGGGTTTTGACGGTATCGAGATCCACCGGTTCCGTGTCGTTCGAAGTCCCCTTCCCAATTGCCTGTTGGGCAGTTTTGAATCGGCCCGCTCGTCCAGCAATTTGCTTGATTTCGTAAGGCTTGATTGTCCGAAAGGAGACACCGTCATGCTTAGAAGTCGACTCAAAGATGACACGCTTGATGCTGAGGTTCAATCCCATTCCAACCGCATCACTTGCAACAAGATAGTCATAATCGTTGTCAGGGTCGTTGAAAAGAGCTGCTTGCTGGGCGCGTGTCTCAGGCGGTAGCGAGCCATAAACGACGGCACATCGCTTTCCAGTAATCCTCTCGATGTCTGATCTCATGGCATGAATTGCGACACGAGAAAACAGGATGATGGCGTCGCCCTTCTCCAGATTTTCCAATTTTCCAAGACTATTGATTTGTGTCTTTAACGGACTCAGTCGCTCGTATTCATGAATCACCAGCTTATCTCCCATAGCGGCACACAGTTCGGTGACAATCTTTTTCGTGCGTACCTCGCCACAGAGGTGAACCTCCTTGGCTTGAACTCCTAGAAATGCCTGAGTCCAGGCCCAGCCACGCTCTGTGTCTCCCATCATCTGAATCTCATCGATGACTGCTACATCAACCTTGCAGTTGAGTGGAACCATTTCCACAGTACAACTGCTCATGGTGTTGTCATAACCCTCGGGTATGCGACGTTCCTCGCCAGTAACAAGGGCGCACTTCTTCCCTTTAGCGTTTAGCCTGGTGTACACCTCGTGTGCGAGCAGTCGCAGTGGCCCAGCAAATATCCCAGATTCTGCAGCTTCCAACCGCTTCAAAGCATGATATGTTTTCCCAGAATTGGTTGGTCCAATGTGCAGATGTATAGTCCGTTGCAGAGCTCTCGTTGCAGGATACCACTCGAGAGGGTATCTCAGATCCGCGAGCTTCTCTTGGTTAATCTCGTGATGCTTGGTGAAATTAAAAGTAACAACCTCGTTGATGAATGAGTATTTCATCTCTGAAGTCAGCCCAGCCATACCATCCGTTATGAATGCATTACGCATTCGGTGAAAGAGGGGGTTGTCCTGCTTGTGAACCTTCCCTTTCTCGGCAAGCTCTGTACAAGCAATGAGTCTCTCTCTGAAAAAGTCAAGTTTCTCATCCAGCTCCTCGTCGGTCCTTATGCCCCAAGCCCCGACAGACACTTTATCTTTGTATCGCAGGGTGAACTCCAAGCCATGGACTTGCTCGAGTAGAAGTCGTCCAAATACTCCATATGTGGTTTCAGAGGGCTTGACCAATCTTCCCGCCCTCAGTTTTCTTGATGCTATGGTGGCGGTTCTTTGTTGGTTGACTGTCCAAGGCTCACTACCCCGACGTTTCTCAGCATAGCCAGTCCTAGGCTTGTTCCAATTGCTCTTGAGCCCTGGATCAGAGCCGTAGGCTACATCACTTTGGATTCTGGTTCTCATTTCTCCAGGCATTCGTCGTATCGTGGGCTAGAAGGCAACTGTCAATAAGTCACAGCCTGATGAGGTCAAGGTGGAGCTCTAACAAATGCGGAGTCGGGCTTGCGGACTTGCAGCCCGGACTCGCTGAGGTTTCGTGCCCCATTTCGATGGCTGAAGCGATTTGGGCTGTTGAAAGAATGCTGAGGAGATGCTCTGAAGGTACAAAAAGCACAAAGCCCACCTCTGCGGATGGCTGGGGGCATCACTGCTGCTGCTGATGTGATATCGAATTTCGCAGATGGGAAGTCATTAGGGGCGAGGGGCGATGAGGTGTCAAGATTACTTCCAGCGCGTTCCACAAGGAGAGGAAAAGCAATGAACAGCAGGGCAGAGCAAGGAGTCGCTGACGCTCTACCTACGGTAGCTTTCGACTTTTTTCTGGACGGACGCGACAGTGAGGTGACCGTGCTGAAATCGGGCCGTCATTGTTCCGTTCCGTTCAGCATGGCAGAAGGCAGGAGGCCATAGGTTTAGGCTCAGCACCCGTTTCTGCCTGTCAAATTCGTCGAGAATATAAGTTCTAGACTTCTTACACTTACAGTATTTACAAAGAAATTTTCAATCAAAGCGTTGTACGTCTAGTTGTAGTGCACTGAACAAGTTGACTTTGGTGGCTCGACCCGATAGGTAGGTTGGGTACTAGTCTCAACTGCACTTGGGAGGTGGTGGTGCGTCGTCATACAAGTATTTGAAGGCCCGCCTTGTCACCTGTAACTTGCAACCTGTAACCTGATCCTCATCACATTTCCCAGCAGCGCGACAATACAGCACGGCGTTTTCTAGATCGATTATCGAAACGTACGTTCGCTGACCGGAACAAAGAAAGTCGCATCCCGGATTGCATGAACCCAGATCTCGAATCAAGCAACAATGGCGTCGTCATCCTCACCTCCAACTCCTCTTCTCTAGTTGGTGCTCCCAGCTCTCTTTAGAATCAAGCTCACCATAGACAGCGCCTGTGTAGCCCATAACACCACCATCCTCGCAGAACATACAGCTTCAGCATCATCTCAGACGTCGTCTCTCGCATCCCTTGTCCTTCCCAAAATCGAGCACAAAACTGCTCAAAAGCTCACCTACACCCACAACAGCAACTTCATCCACTACATCGCTGATGCACCTTCCGAATACGGACCATCTTCTGCATCCGCTGGCGGACTTACGTATCTCGTGATTGCAGACTCCTCCCTTGGTCGGCGTATTCCCTTCGGCTTTCTATTCGAAATCAAGAAACGTTTCTTGGCCCAATATGCACTTGAGAGTACGGATTTTGCGAGCTTGCCAAACTATGGCGCTGGAAATTTCAACAGTGAGCTGAAGAACTTGATGGTGGATTATGGAACAACAAAAGCGGGGAAACAAGATGCGATTTCGAATGTGCAAGGAGAAATTGACAATGTTAGAGGGATCATGAGCCAGAATATCGAGACTCTGTTGGAGAGAGGCGAAAGAATCGATCTTTTGGTTGACAAAACCGACAGATTGGGAGGAAGTGCCCATGATTTCCGGGTCAGAAGCAGAGGCTTGAGGAGGAAGATGTGGTGGAAGAATGTCAAGCTCATGGCATTGCTCACGCTGGTGGTCATCTTTTTGATGTATCTGTTCGTTGGTTTTGGATGCGGATTGCCAGGCTGGTCGAAGTGTGTTGGTTGAAAGTTGTCGAATTCATTAGTCACATGCTTCAGGCGCTTGTAAGATATTGCAAGCAGGGAACTCAACTTATACCACGGGGAGTTTGGTCGGTGTAGCACTTTCAGTCCGTAATTTATACATAGGCCGTAGCCTTCAAAATCCAGAGCTTTTATCCTAATAGAACTCCCATTAACTGCTGACGTCGAAATCTTTGATGCTCACAACGATCTCAACTTGACCTTCAGCCTTGTTCTCAAATCCCTCCAGGACCTATAAACTGCTTCCCATTCGGCCAACATTCAAAGGAGAGTTGGTATACCTGCGAGTACAGTTCTGTCTCTTCTTCATCAACTTTACTATCCTCATTTGAAGTCTCAGTCTGCTTACTTACTATACCTAACTCCAGCGCCTCACAATTTATGAATCCCATCCACCTTTCTCTGAGCCCCATCATTAAAAACATACCCCTTCGCCACTGGACTGCTCCAAATCCCATCCCCCGCATTTACGCCCTCAGGCGCTTTTTTCAACCTTTCAGTAAAGAACACTGGGTGTCTCTTCGACGCATCGAGTATCATTTTCTGGGCTTCCGAGATAGGATTTCGCGCTACTGCTAGTGGGAAGGGTAATGGAGGCATAGCTTCAATTTGGTTTCTGGGAAACACTGAGAGAGTTGATGGTATTGAGGTACATGGGGGAATCGGATATTGTGAGGACAGAGTGGAGGATGTGCGTATTTGCTGCTGACTTGTTGGTTGGGGCGGTAGATGGTGAGGCAGCTGAAGATATGTCAGCTATCAGTTCTGGGTTTGCTCATTGATCTAGAAATATGAAAGTTTAAAGGGGGCAAACGATTTGTATACCTTCGGCCTCGATGGCTGCATAGGACTGAACATCTCTTGGTCCTGCTCGCGGGGTGTTTTGCGCTGGCAGATTTGTGGCATGGAACCACGAGGAAGTATGCTCGATGCTACCTTGTTTTTTCAACCGAGCTTCCTACTCAAACAATCTTGTTGTTGCAGGTCGTGATTGTAGAAGCAGGTTTAGACTAATTGCGTCGAGCTAAGCCTGTGGCAAAGCAGATACCTACCTAGATACCTACTCGTAGTTAAGGTCTTAGAAGTGTGGGGTAGCTTGGCTCACGACCCACCTCGGCATGACGTCTATCGGGCGAGGGGGCGTTGTCAACCGAGCACTGAATTCGACGCGGGCTGGCGGTCTAAATTTAACATCGGGGAAAAAAGGTTGCAATGTCGCTTTCTAGAATTGTGCTGGTATGTTATTCAATTGTCTTGTCTTGTGAGACACGTTGACGATTTTCATCACGCGAAAAAACATGCAAATCTCATTGTGCTGAGGTCCATAATGGTTGATGACCTTCGCTGATGAAAGGATAGCTACAGTCGTCCCAAAGGTCCGTACCCAAGTCAGCCTATACCAGGGTTCAAACACATCAGGGCAATCGATCACAATTCCAAGCACCAGAGGATCATCCTCAACCCTATTACCACTGTCTCCAAGGCCTCAATCTTATTCTTACGTCTGAACTGAATCTTTCTACTTCCCGCAAAGCCCCAAACATCAACCAACGTTCTAATATCAATCCCGTCGGTTGTCTACTCCTTGTCCCGCACTCGCTTATTCTATATCTCTATCTTCTGCTTTAGCAACCATTCAGGGCCCATAACATGGGCTTGTTCCCCGTCAGCCATAAGCGGCATCGTATATGGAGGGCGACGACTCAACACCTGTACGTGGTGCCTTCTACGAACCTTCAACTGTACAGCTAGTTCTGTACTGTTTGGAGAGCTAAGATTAAGTTAAATTCGAGGCAATTGTAGGAAGATTAGAAGAGCCTTAGCACTGAAATTTTTTCATAACCCTCGAACGACCTATTATTCTCTTATATATAATATACTAACTGATTAATAACTACGATGTTAAGAAATAATAACCTCTAAAGAGCGCTTTATAAAAGGTCGACCTTAGAATAAGGCTATAATAAGGAGGGATAAGAATAGGTTCTATCTTATAGTCATAGTAAGAGGGGAGGAAAGGCAGGACTCAGAGGAGGGTTCCCGGATATAGTCGCGTAATAAGGAGTTACTTTTAGTTCTTCTACTAATAGCTCGTGTAATAAGCGTATTTCTTCGCCTTATTTGTATCAATTAAGATGTAATAGCACGGTTTAGCGTTAGCTAGCACGTGAGCGAAATAACCACGGATCAGGTGATAACCTCTCTATTAGCGCGAATATTAAGCTGAGGAGCCCTCGATTCCGTGGAGGGCGCTCGAGCCTATATAGACAAATTCCCCGGGCTATTCCCGATTAAGCCTAATTACACTTGACGTAAAACTTGACGTAAACTCCTATAGTAGCGTAGAGCTATTTCCCTTTGCGTATAACTAAGTGGGTAACTGTTAGTAAACCCCTTCAGAGTTAACTGAGCTCTACCGAGTCTTACCGAGCTTTACCGAGCTCTAGACTCTTCCTAATCGGGTATAGTAAAGAAGTAGTTACCACTACCTTTACATAAGAGAGGTTCGTTTATATTCTTCGGAAGAAATTAAAGGAGTATAAGTGTAAAGGTAGTAGTAACCACTTCTTTACTATACCTGATTAGGAAGAGTCTAGAGCTCGGTAAAGCTCGGTAAGACTCGGTGGAGCTCAGTTAACTCTGAAGGGGTTTACTAACAGTTACCCACTTAGTTATATGTAAAGGGAAATAGCTTTATGCTACTATAGGAGTTTATATTAAGTTTTATATTAAATATAATTAGTCCTAATCGGGAATAGCCCGGGGAATTTATCTATATAGGCTTAAGCGCTCTCCACGGAATTAAGGGCTCCTTAGCTTAATATTCGCGCTAATAGAGAGGTTATCACCTGATCCGTGGTTATTTCGCTCACGTGCTAGCTAACGCTAAACCGTGCTATTATAATAAGTGACCTATTAAGTTAAAGAGAGTTATACGAATTAAATAGTTAGAGGTATTATAGACTCTCTGGAAAAGTTATACGTGTTATAGTTTTAAGAGAGTCCTCTCCTTAGGAGAGCGTAGTTACTAAGTATAAGGATTAACTAGCTAAGGTTTTTATAGTTTTCCTTAGTTATAGAGTATAAACTACGAGTAATATATCTATCGGAAAGTATACTTAAATAAGGATTAATCTTATCGATATACGAGGATAGCACACTATAATAAGGGAGGAAAGGCTATAAACCTGTTTACCGTAAAGTCGCATTTAAGAGTAATAGACTGTCTTACATAGTAGCGAGAGCTAGCTAGAAAGGACAATAAACTGGAGTTACACACACACAAGCGGCATCGTATCATTCCCTTCCAGTCGAAAGTTAAACGCCTCGCTTTTCCCCAAAACCATCCAGTGATCCACGATCTTGAAGTCCCCGTGTATGTCACCACGCGTGTGGCCTTTGTGCCGCTTGATGATCAATTTTGGGTAGCTAACACCGGTCCACCGTTCCACCGTTACACAAGATACTCTGAGGCATACTATTTGTCTGAGAGTACTGGGAAGTTCTGATGCGGAGATCTTGGAAGAATGTTGTATCGAGACTGTTATGTTGCAGAGGAGGAGGCAGGGGAAGCAGAACGACATTGCATGTACGAAGATGGCGGGCAAGTCTATGATGCCGTGTTTGATGTGGAGATATTGTAAGGTGCGGGAGAGTATGAGGAGTGCAGATGTGACTTCATCGGCGTTTGGGAGAGTCCCGACGATGCGGTCCATCGGGATTAGGCAAGTCGTGTTAATACACTGTGATGAGGTGCCTTGTGGAGCAAGAGAAATGCGGTAGATTTAGAGATATGTGTGTATGCAGACCATTAGGAGTGGAATATGAACTATAGAAAAGGGTACATGCTTTTGACCATTGAATCCTTTATCGGAATGTTGGAGAAGAAAGCCATCATATGACGACTGGCCATGCTACAGACGACCTCAAAAGCAGTCACACTCGAGCATAGGTGAGATTGACAACAGTACATTGACAAGATGAAACCTGGCGAACTTTCGCGGGTCGTAGAGGAGTACGATCCACCAAACACAGGCTCGGTCTCAGAATATCCCTATGCATCTAGGCATAGAAAACTTCGAGTCAATAGTCAAGAAACAGTAACTAACAGAAAAAGGTGCAATTGAATAGCGAGCATGGGAACACCTGCACCAAGTCTGCTGCAGATGGTTGTAGCTAGTGCTGGGCATGCTGGTTCTTTGGCTTGCCCATTGTTTGATTTGGTATTTGGCTATGGAGTGTGAGATAATATTCTGCACTCCCATCATTAAGGCACCGTCCGAACCTTCCGTCGGCAGACGAAAAGGTTTGATGATGTTGATCTTACTCCGGCATGTAATCTGTCTTGGACTTCACTATATCTCAAATTCAAGAATAACTTTATGGGTATGTATGCGAAACATACGATGTGCATGGTTGATCATTTGGGCACTTTCCTCTGCCTCCTGGATTTCGATTTCTTCGTATCAGGGCCGCTTGCTGCGTCTTCAGGAGGTTCCGCGGGGCCTCCTCGAGATTTTTGTCCACTATTGGCCTTTTCCACTTCCTGTTTCTCCAGTGCCCTCCTGACAGCCTCCTCCCTTTCAACTCTCTCAATCAGCATTTCGCTGCCCTCCCACAATTTCTTTGCCACTTTCTCGTCCTTCACATCACTCCTCGCAAATTTCAACTCCTGGCACTCTTTGATCATCTTTCCACCTGCTCCTCGACCAAGTGTCGCGTCCATAGCAGCGTACAAGAAACTTTGAGATCCTCCCTCTGAGCTCTTGAGTAACAGCCAAACGTTCTGCCACAGAATAAGATATACACCCAATCCCCATAAAGTTCCTCGTGTGAACCACCTTCGCATGCCAGGAGTCCGCGAGTACCCGGGATCGACAAAGATAACTCGTGCATTCGTCGGAGAGCCATCGGGCCGTTTATATGCATCTAAATGCTTTTGAAATGCGTGCCCGAATATCGTAAGCGCCAGCTTGCTTCTCGCATATGACAGCGCCGGCGACCACTCCTTCTTCTTCATAGCAATGCTTCCATCGTCAACAGGAGGTGATCTGATGTACGAAGAACAGTTGGCGAAGATAATCCGAACATCTCGATCTGGAGGTTGAGCTCGTATAGCTGGACTAAGTATGCTGAGCAGATGATAATTCGCAAGGTAATTGACTACCCAAGTCTCTTCGAGTCCTTCCTCCGTCAATATTCGAGAGTTTCCTGGCGGTGTCAACGTCGCTGCGCATAGAATGATCATATCGAGTCTTCGAGGTGGGGCGTTGTCGATCCATTTTGTCGCAAATTGTCGAATGCTATACAAGGAAGATAAGTCAACTTGCTCTGCGTATATCATTTCGTTCCCACTCTTCTCTCGCAAATCTTCGATGTAGTCGACAAGAAAGATGTCCTTGGGCGACTGATGAACCAAAAGTATGATCTGTGCGCCTCTCTCTGCCAGAGCAAGAGCTGTAGCAGCTCCTATCCCAGACGTCCCTCCTGTTATCATAACCACTTTGCCGTGCATTTGCCGTTCTGAAGTATTGGATGCCCCCATGGAATACCATTTGACCACCCCAATGATGAGAAGTGTAGCGACAACTTTGAGAATGCTCCCTATATTGTTAATATTAGGAACTATCTTCCAGAATAGATCTGCAATCATATGTATCGCCATTGTCACGAATTGACAGGTTGTATCATTGGCCCCGACACACGTCAAGATGCCCCTATGGGAAAGAAGAAGGGATTGAATTTGGATCATAGGCGGTGGCAGAATTTAAGCTTAAATATTTAGCTTCCGCGGGACTAGCCTCTCCAGCCTGCTCGTGGTGTCTCCTTCGCCACAGTCCCCAACGCATTAATGTCTGACGACGACAGCTACGAAATCCCGCTCCAGGACCAGCGTGCCTTTGGAGCTGGTATCAAACGACAAAGAGTGAAGTTCGTGCCATCATCCATAGCATCCACCACCCCATCGCTGAGCAATTACTCAGGACAGGCAGTCAGCGATCTCTATCTTAAACTAGTCCTGCCACGCGAACAGAAAACACTCTCTCCTCAACCGGAAGCTTCAAACAGCCATGAGAATCTGCCTTCAAGAGACAGCGATGAAACTCAGATGTGCGAGATCTGCAGCTTCCCCCTTGCAGAAGCAGCTACGCAACCAACCCGAATTCAGGACGCAGAACACGATTCCAAGCAACGACCCCATGAAGCCTCTCTCGCGCACCAAGTATGCGTAACACACTCCCATCCGCCATCACATCTCGACCGAAACCGTAAGGGTCTCACATATCTGTCTGCTTATGGCTGGGATCCAGACGCTCGGTGTGGTTTAGGTGCTCAAGGACAAGGCATACAATTTCCTGTCAAGACCAAACCAAAAGAGGACAAGATGGGTATTGGAGTGGTCTTGCCCAAGCAAGCGGACAGGCCAAAGAAAGAAAAGATCCAGAAAATGGATGCCGGAAGAGTTAGAAAAATGTACGAACAAGACAAGAAGAAGGCCGAGAGGTTACGAGAGATGTTCTACAGAAACGATGACGTTGAAAGATATCTCGGCGGTGGTTGACATGCAGGTGGTTAGCAAATCCAGAAATCACCAACAGCCAAATGCGGCATACTGATCGGGTCACGTTGTTGATCGTGTATTACCAGGTGCCCACCTTCCAAGGGACGACTGTTGAGTACCATATCTTTGCGTGGGGAACTTGGAAAGAGGAACGTAGCGTGGATTATGGATATTATAGTTTCCAAACAGCACCTTATGCCGCTGCGGGAGCACGCCTAGCCCATTCCGTGCTTCATTTCGTGCTCTAAAAACACATTCACAACATGTCACATCGGTATAGAGTTTCTCTGGGCTGATCAAAGTCCTGATGTAGACATAACTTCAAAGCTTCAGCGGTATCTTTCGTTTCATCGAAACCTTACTATAGCTGTCCTCGGAACGATTGTGCGTGAGATATTCACTGAAATATGGACGTCCTGAACGTGATTCATTATCATAATCCTCGTATTCTTCATTTATGGTTTCTGCTACAAAGTTTATTATAATATGCTTGTTTACTGATGTTCACCAGGTTGGCGCTCGATGCGCCCTAGTCCTGCCGCCCGACGCTAAAAGTGGCGCTTCAAGCATTGGATGCAGCTTGGAACGAAACGTCCCCGCCAAGCAGGAATCCTTGGCCCGCAACTTGACTTGACACGGCCACGTCCTCGCAACCACAGGAGCAGGCAGCTTTTCCTCGAGCCGAAAACACAGTAAATCTTCGGATTCAACAGCTTGCACCTCGCGATCATAGCTGACTGAAGATCTCCCAAGTCGGATCGTGGGACAGCCAAGATGGTCTCCGCTATTCACGAACAGCGAGAAAGTGAGCAGCCACGCCTCCCCCACCATGGGCTCGACTGACCGCTCGAATAGTCATCTTGGATACCATTAAATCAATAACTAGAGGAGAAGTAGGTCTGCCTCCTTGATTTTGAGATCCGTACTTATAAACTCTGCAGTGGAAGGTGCTGGTCATCGATGAATTTACTAAGAAGATAATCGACAATGTCGTCAAGGAAGATGACATTCTCAACGAGAATATTGCGAGTATGTGCGTTTTCGAGGGGCAGATGGGCAGTATGCTAAGAACAGGCTAGATATTGAGAGGATCGAGGACAAGAGGGAAATGAACCCGGACATGGACGCCATATACCTCCTGTCGCCACAACCACATATTGTTGATTGCCTCCTAGCAGACTTCGAACGCAGGAGATACAGAAAGTCTTTTCTAGTTTGGACAGCTTTGCTCGATCCTCAGATGCGACGGCGTCTCGATGTCTCGAGACAGGTACAAGAGCAGATGGCAGGCTTCGAGACTCTTTCAATTGACTATTTTCCCCGGGAGTCGCATCTGATCACATTCCGAGATCCTTGGAGTTTCCCCATTCTTTATCACCCAGCGTGCAATAGTCTCGTTCGGGACCATATGCAAACCCTTGCTCAAAAGGTAAGAAGCCTTCAGCTTCGTTTCGGATCCAAACTGAGCTTTTAGATCACTGGCATTTGTGTCTCACTGGGAGAGTACCCGAAAGTTCGCTTCTACAGACCTCGAAATCCAAATCACGAAGCCAGCGTTCTCTGTACCCACTTGGCCAAATTTGTTCAGGACGAGCTCGATGCATATGCGAAATTCAATCAAAACTTTCCGCCTCCTTCCTCGCGACCACAGGGCATTCTCGTGATTACAGACAGGGCGATGGACATTATGGCGCCTCTCATTCACGAATTTACATACCAAGCTATGGCCCATGATCTATTGCCAATCAGAGAGGGAGACAAGGTCTTTTACAAAACAGTCGTTAACGAGGGAACAGCGCAACAAGAAGAAAAGGATATGGAGATTGGCGAAAAGGATAGGATTTGGGTCAACAACAGACATAGTCACATGAAAGACACAATCGAAAAATTGATGGGCGACTTCCAAAAGTTCATCAACGAGAACCCCAATTTCACGAATGCGGATGCAGATGCGACCAGTTTGAATGCAATCAAAGATATGCTAGCTGGGTTACCGCAATTCCAGGAAATGAAAGAGGCGTACTCATTGCATTTGAGCATGGCTCAGGAATGCATGAACATATTCCAGCACCGGAAACTCCCAGACATTGCTTCGGTGGAACAGTCACTAGCGACCGGGCTAGATGAAGATTTCCGTAAACCGAAGAATCTAGCTGATCAGGTTGTACGACTGCTTGATGATGAAAACATCGGATCAGCAGACAGATTACGCTTAGTCATGCTTTATATTATCTATCGAGATGGTATGATTCAAGATGATATCCAGCGGCTCCTGGCACATGCAGCACTTCCCCCCCAAGATGCTGAAGCCATTGCAAACCTCGACCTTATTGGCGCACACACGTCGAAAGCAAATCTCAGGGAAGTAAGGCCTCCAACACAGCCTTTATTTCCTCGGAAAACAGCGCCAACTGCTCAAAATGAAGAGTATGCCCTCTCACGATTTGAGCCAGCTGTAAAATTGATGCTCGAGGAGATCACGAAAGGGACCCTGGACCAGACAACATTTCCATACATTCGACCGCCTCTTGACAATTCCGAGGAACTCGCAGCTCAATCTCAAGCATCTCTCAGAAGCGCAAAGCCAACATGGGCTCGAAATCGCATGTCAACCGTAGAAAATAGGCAGAGAATCATTGTATTCATGGCTGGAGGTGCCACATATTCAGAGTCTCGGGCATGCTATGAAGTTTCGAGGACAACTGGCAAAGATATTTTTCTTGCTACAAGTCATATGGTAAATCCAGCGCTCTATGTGAGGCAGATTGGGGATTTGAGTGAAGATCGGAGAAGACTGGATTTGCCAGTAGACAGACCAAAACCCAAAGCCCCATCGCATCTCTTTGTACGAAATGATCCTCTACCAGCAGCTATTCCAGCAGGGTCAGGTAGGCCAGGAGTAATAGGCCTTCCTGGTGGTCCAGGGAGACCTGGCCAAATGCCAAGAAATCCAGGGCCTCCGGCTCCTCCACAAAAGAACCCCTCGTACAGTAACACCAATGCTTACGATAGAACCGCACCACAACCACCGACCGCTGGACTAGCTGCCATGAGCATGAATTCAGGGACCGGACGGCCGATTCCCTTGAATGGGTCGAACGGACCCGATGTGACGCCTAGCAAGGGCAAGTTGGAAAAAAAGAGCAAACACAAGGAAGAGGGCGGAGAGAAGAAGAAGCGAGGATTCTTCAGTAGCAAGAAGTAAATGCATGCAGCCCGCGTCACATAAGCATTGTTCGGCGTTGAGCGATGTGATTTTTTCCGTGTAGGCGTCATCGGAGTTAGGCATATATGCGAGAGGCTTCAGGCATTATCTCAGGTATAATCGGAGGATTAATGAGGATATACCATGTGTCCACGAAGCAATGAAAACTCCGTAAGTGAACTCCAATGAAAATGCTGGTAAAATGCAGCGTCTGGCCAGGATTGCCGCTTAAACTTCCCAGCTGTGCAGTTGAATCGCCCAGGTGTACAGATCACTGATACTTTGACGCAGTTTGCCGGTAGAGTGTCTGGTCAATGTAACCCAGATCCAAAAAGCCCATCCTCCTATACCACTACTGCTTCACCTTTCGCCTTCACCTAAACCCATCAAACCTCGCCCCTATGTATCCAACCTGAACCCATGGATCCCAACAACTCCCATGCCTGTCACTCAGTAGCTAGATCCATCAACATTGCGATCCGCACTGATCACACTTGACCTCGCACAATGGTCCCCGATCAAGTCCCACACTCCTTCCCATTCAAGCAAGTCAAACCCTACAAGGATCGGCTGTCAGCTATCTACTTCCTCGTGCCTATCTCTCTTGTGCTTTTCTATCAAAACCCCTATTACCCGGAAATGGTCAACAAAGGGTGATCATACAGTCTACCTTGAAGGACAATGGAAAGCAGGTTCTACCCCACCAGGGGAGGGCAGTTTACTAAAATAACGACCTCGCAACTGTTAAGTCATTCTTATCACTATTAATTGACTGTCTTTTAACAGTCATAAAAGTTTGTAACTATCATATGATAATCATTCTAGGAAAGTGTCCCTTCCACGGTGGGGCGGAATCTGCCTTCGCCTTTAAGGTGCTATTCCCCTCAATGAAGCTGTCCAGTGCCAGGACCTCTCGGCTTTGTACTTGGGCCAGCAATACCTATTCTCTCAGCCATACTCGTGAACAGGACGCGAGCGCGCGTGCATATCATTAAGTTGGACTTTATCGGCTACAGGTTTATGCACCAAGGGCTGTATCGGAGCTCAGGCAGATACCATGGCGGTGCATGAGGAAGGCCACTGGGGAATGGATTCTTAAGTTCCAGGTCACGTTATTGGTTCGAGTGTTGCTGGGAAAGGGTTTTAAATGGAGATCTGTGTGCGCAAATAGCAATTTGAAGTGAAGAACCGCTATTGTATAGACAATGAGAAGGGGATGGACTGCCGATGGCAACGCCGTACCTGAACGCAACGCCTGGCCCACGTTGAGGAAGGATTTCAAGAAGTGAGAGCATCCTCTCGCGAAAGATGGCCAAACATCAAGAAGCAGGTCCTTCACACACAAGATTCAGAATATGTACACTTGAAAATCAAACGACAAACAACACTCCAAGTCCTTAGATGAACGTGTATCCATGTACAGTGTTGCCAACAGTTTTCTGGTGATGATTATCTGTAAATATCGTAAGGTGTTGTTTTCCTACCAAAACCGAGTTTTACCTGTGTGTCTACCTAAACTTTCTACCTCGAGCATTGAGAGCATGTCTGTAGAACCTACCTCGCTTGTGATACGAACGGGTGTGGCGTTGGCAGATGTGTTTCCACTTTGATGCTTACCTACCTAGCTCCTAGCTTGTACGTATCCAGCTTCGTGAAGAGATGGCGATGGGCAATTCAACCGTGTTGCGCCTGCGCCTTATCCCCTCAGCTGCCGTCAACACACTTTTGTAGGGCCCAGTGCTGAAGCGAGGCGCTAGGGGTTTTCGAGGTTCTCTGCCCAGCGAGCCCGGGCGTACTACAGGGCACGTGTGCTAACTTTGGTCACTGTAGAAAGTGTGTTTGGAACGGTGGCTTAGGGGCCAGGCTCTTCTACTTTTCGTTTCTCCGGGAACATGAGAGGAATTTCACAGCTCCCATGTTGAAATGTTCATCTCTCTCAATCCACGAGTCCCAGCATATAAGTCAAGGAAAACTAATTGAGTTATCCATTCCGTGAGGTCACACTCTAAGCTGCTACACAGCTAGCAGCTCACTTACCTCACGTTAGTGACTCCACGAGATTGTATTTGCATACATCAAGCAACCTGGTCAAGTTCACCGTCGGTCAAGTTGTGCCTGCACACACAATAGGTGTGGTCCAGTCTCCACCTAGACACACTTCTAGCTCGATTCGTAATGGAACTTGATGCAACGTCTAGTAGATCACGTGGCTAAAGCCTAACATTTCCTGAACAGAACTACACCATACAGCATACATCCAAGGGACCCAAAGACGCGAGGAATGTTTGTGCGGTTGTGCGACGGGCGAGATACTATCCAAATGTATGCCGACGTCACTCTGTCACGATGGGAGTAAGATATTCAGGTATTGCGCTGCGCTGATACAGGCATTTCTCAGTGATGGCCTAGCTAGGCATGATATTTCCCCCTGTCAAATTCTCCAATACCATATAATTACATGCGCACACGTTCGCATCATAATATCCATTAGCATTTATTGTCTTCGGAAGGCACCTTGGGGAGGTGGGGGTCCTCGTCCATCAAATGGTGAGCCAAAGCCCATGCCCTCGGGACCTTGGAATCCGCTCATACCTGGCGGCATGAATCCTGGAGGGGGAGGATTGAAGAACCCAGGCGGTGGTTGCATCTGCATATTGCGAGGAGGTCCAGCCATAACATCGGGTGGAGGAAATGCGCCGATGGGAAACCCTGGTGGATACATGCCTTGAGGTATTGGCATTCCACGATTAGGTCCATTTGCAAGCCCAGGTGGTGGAGCTATGTTTTGGGCAATGCGATGCTGTTGGGCTACTTGGTTTTGACGCTCCCAACCACCTATCTCAAGACCTGGTGGTGCTGGGCGTTGAAGAATTTGAGTTGGTTGCGGGGGGTTGCCAGGCTGTCTTTCATGCTGCGTAGGTCCTCGTTGGAAAGCTGGGTCCTCCGCATAGAATCCAGGAGGAGCTTGTGGACGAATCTGGCGTTGAGAAGCACCTCGTTCCCGCTGAGCAGCCTCTCGTTGCATGTCTTGTTCACGCTCCATTGCTTGCTGCTGAAGTTGACGGTCAACATTCCTGGGTGCCATTCTCAAAAGAATTTGCTCCGATCTCTGAGGTTCTGGTGCAGCCCTAGCACTCTGCATAAGGCCCATGAGAAATTCGGTATTTGTATTGCGAGCTGGCGGTTGGTCCGGTCGCGAATTCTGGCTTATGGCACTGTGTCGTTGACCAACAAGATCTTGTAGCATTTGCTCTGGTCGTACAACTGGCTGGCTTCCGGTCATTTGACGTTGATTCAATACATCTTGCTGCATAGACTGCTGAGAGTTGCGAGTATTTGGTCGAGACTCCTCCGGGCGGTCAGTACGGTATTGCTGATATGTCTCCGGGGTAGGATTTGGGTTGCTGCGTTGCTTCTCTGTTGCGGGAGGCCTTGCTTGCATCGAAGGTTCCACAGGGGGAGTCGACCCAGAGCCGCTAGGGGTCTGAAGTTGTAGCTTTTGGAGCAAGGTCTGGAAAGCTTCTCTCTCTGCTTGTACAGCAGACTGGCCAGTGTTTGCATTGGAGGCGTTTGGTCCGGGGTTGGAGAACAAGGCTGCAAGTCCACTCGGAATTTGGGGAGGCGGAGCTGGTAGCGGCTCTGTTTGACGTCGTTGGGGGTCCTCCTGGGGTGTAAAGAAAGAAGTAAATCTGGAGGCCTTTCCTACCACAGTCTTCGCTTTTGGCACTCCATCTGTCTTTGGCTCTAAGCTAGAATCTGGAGTAGTTCCTTCCTTTGAGGCTGACCACAGTCCAAAGAATTTATCTGGTCCGTTATTCATCTCCAAAGGAGTTTCTACCTTCGGCTTGTCCAGACCAGAAAATGACGGCTCCTCAGGCTTTGCTTCGTCCAGGTGTATTTGAGCAGATTTACTTCCAAGATCTCTAGAGCGTTGCTGTTCCTTCCACTTCTGGAAGTCGTCTGCTGTATGGACCTGGTTTGCTGACGATTTATCTTCTACTGGCTCATCGAACCATGCAGGCTCGCGTTCCTGGCGCTGGTCTCGGTCTCTATCCCAACGACGATCGCCTCTATCACCCCCTCTATCATTTCTCTCGCTTCTCTCGTTCCTCTCACCGCGCTCTGCTCTAGTATCGTCTCTTTCCTGGTCTCTCCATCCACGATTTCGATCGACAAATCTGTCACCATTACTATTCCGTTCTTTAGCTCCGGACTGAGGCACATCTGTTGAATCCTTGGCCTTGAACCAGGATTCGTTTCGACCACGTCCTGTCCCATTCCTACGAGCGTCTTTCTCCTGGTCTTGATCAATATCCTTGTCCCTGGAGAAGCTCTCAAAGCCCCTTGGCTTCTCCTTTACCTCACGTTCTTCCCTGTCTTTGAATCTTCTATCCTCTCTGTGTCTGTCCACCCCCATGCGACCATTGAATCTCTCGGCACCCTCCGTACCAAAACTCTTTCTGGGTTTAACCGTGCTCCATCCATCGCTATCTTCGCCATCTGGACGCTTTGGGCGTAGATTGTTGTTTCGGGTATCTCGCGTTCGCTCAGTCTCTCCTTCTCCAGTCTTGTTTCGGAAGTTGTATCGGTCTCTTGAATCTGTGTCCCTGAAGGAAGATCGCTCTGAGGAATCAAAAGTTTTACCAGCATTGCGAGCAGCTGAAGAGAACTGGTTTTTGGGTGGCCCGAGAATTATGTCTTCGGGGTCTGGTCACAGTTAGCATCGCGAGGCTGGGGATTCGGGAGCTAGGCGGCGTACTGGCAGAGTTACGTGACATGTGCCGCTCTGTTACAGGGCGTCTCGTCTGATCTAGAAGTAGGTTAGAGTCATTACTCTTTGCTCTGTCGATAGTTGGCTTAGTCGGATTACGAGTAGCATCTGCAGGTTGTCTATGAACAGTCAATATGGGCTATGTACACCGCGCAGAGTTGATAGTTCTTACCCCATCCATTGATCTGCTGGGGGCAGGTTTGGAGGCTTGTCGACCAACGGTGAGTCTCGTAGAAACTTCAACTCATCCGGTGTATATCTGACCGCCATGGTGGTTGCTTTGGACAGCTGATCAGGTATGAACGATTACGATGTCTCATGGGCCGAATTGGGTTGAACCTCGTCTTTTGCTGAAAGTCCTGTCCAGAGGAGGAGTATAAGGCAGAGGTGCGAGGAAGGGGTTCGGTGGAATGGAATCAGGTTGAAGGCGAAACTGGCCGTGCAAGGATATTCGACGTCAGGTATAAGGTGAGACGAAGTGCAGTATTCAAGGTGATTGTGGGAATATCGTGCGATCGTTAAACGTGTCGTGGAGACAGGCTGAGCGCAAGGCGCAAAGTCGTGTGTGCAACGTGAAGACAAGAGCTGGAGTTGATGCGGCACGGGTATCAGGCAGCTGTAATGGTGGAAGGGAATGGTATTAAGCAGTGAATGGCCGCGGAGACCGTTCGATAGGGCACGTTGAATGGTATTGTTGGCTGTCTTGATTGTGTCGATGGAGATAGAGATGGAGAACAGAAGGTGCTGATGCTCAAGGTCCAAGTGCCGTGCCCTCGCCGTGCCAAGGCCAAGACAAGACACCACTAGGCGCTCCCTGCTCATCAAACGCGACAATTAGGCGCCATTTCTTGAGGTTGTATTTCGTTGTGCATTGACTTCCACAGCTTCTATACTTGGGTATCTAAACAGTTGACATCACATACTGCTCCTTCCTTTTCGCTTGTCACCTATGACCTTACGTCTGCCCTTGCTCCACTTCTTCACCCTCTTCTCGTCACTACATTCCATTATCTTCTCCATCAGCAAGTTCAGCGGCAAACCTCCTCCAAGAGCTCCCTGTGCCTCTAGCCAAGTCACTGCACTGAACCTGGTCACCAATGTGGTGCTGCCACCTTCAATAGTCGTGGCTCTGAAGAAGATCCTAAGAATCTTATCTCGCAAGCCCTTTTCGAGATAGGTGCTGTTGTACACTGACAGCAGTTTCTCAAATACCAGTCTCTTTCGGTACAAGCCCATGTCTTCGCTTGTACTCAGGCCGACGAGCAGGCAATTCAGCAACCAGCTGATTTCCGAGGAATGCGAATCGTCGACACTTGGCTGTTGATCAAGAATCTTGTGCATCAGTGGAATCTTATCCAAATCCCATGTCGGTCCTTGTGAGAGAAATTTATTGATCTTCGGGTATAAAACGTGCAGCGGATCATTGAGAACAGATATGGCGTGGGATGCAAATGCTGATATGACTGTTGGCAAAGGGTCGTGGCTGATGGTTTTCTTGGCCGTCTCCACCACTTCACATAGCAGCAACCAGATCTGATCTTTTTCTCCCAGTGTTGATCCCTTCAACTTAGCTGCGAATTTTGATATATTTGTTGTTGCTTCCTTGCGGACACTGAGATGGTTGGACGAAAGTAGCATGACAAGTGCAGCACCATTCCCACCATTGATCACCTCGTCGACCTCCTTTGTCGTCCACTTTGTCAAGGACTTGTGGTCTTCAGCTGCGTTTGCGGGACAATCGTTCATATTGGAAATGACTTCTGCTCTTTCCGTGTCAATGAGAGCCTTCTTCTCTGAGTTGTTCTCGGCCTCAACTGGTTGATTTTTTTCCTCAGTAATGACTACTTCATCCACGATTTCTAAAGACCGCTCAATGGTTGCCCTCGCAGTTGAGTTTTCTGGCATTTCTGCGGAAATTCGTTGGACAAGAACTTTGATGACATGTTTGTTTTCTTTGATTCTCATAGACGCCGCAAAGTATCTGGCAACGAATTGGGCTACCTCGTCAAGCTCTGGCTCGCTTGCTGATTTTACCAAAAAGGGCCATTGTTCGACTATTGCTAAGGATAGCAGACTTACTGGGGTCATTCCGTCGGTCGAAAATGCGCACACCTCTTCAAGTGCAAACATGTATTTTACTGGCTTGCCAGCACATCGTGAGATGCAATTATCCAGGAATTCGTACACAGCCGATGAACACGCGCCGATCGGGACGCTTTTCAGTCCAAGAACGAAACTGTCTAGAGCGGAGTGTACGGTCTGGCTTTGCAGTATCTGATTCTCCTCGGCCACAGAGCCAAGCACAGTTCTTAATTTAAGCAATGGTAGATCGGAAGGCGCTTCTGCAGCGAGTTTCAGCATAGCCATAAATGGAGAAACTGATAGTCCGTCTCCTTTCGTAAACCACCGCATTCCAGGAGAGTAGTGTGCAAACTGGAACAGGTGTTCCAGCTCTATGGCCCTAAGAACTCGATCTTCAAGGCTCAAAGTAGACGCTTCCATTGCTTTGAGATTTTCGGCAAGCGCAGCTGAGACCCCAAATTTGGCATCAAGCGCAATGCGGGGGACTACCTCGTAGTACAAAACTAGCAGCTTTGTTGCTGCCTCCTTTTGCATTAGATCAGAGTTTTTCAAGCGTCTGAATGCAATAATTACGTCTTTAATTGAAGGACATCTTTGACAAAACTCATCTGTTAAGACCTCAGCTGATTTGGCCCACACTGAAGAAGCTGATCCATTCGCAGCTTCACGATACAATTTCAGTGCATCTTGTAGTTTGCCGAGAGCCACGCAGAGTATTCTGATGGCGAAAAACGTAATCAAATTGTTGTTGGAAAGATTGAGACATCGAGTGAGGACTTTTTGGGTTAGAGGTTGGGGAAGTATACTCTCTAGAACAATCGACGGTGGAGGTGGAAGCCTAGCATAGCGTTCCTGATGCCCAAAATACTGTGGAAACGGCAGCTGCAGTGTTGAGAAAATGAAAGAAGCATAGCCTATCCATGTTGCCGTAAGCTTGGGGTCGAATGAAAAATCCTTCTTTCCGAAATAATAATCCGCAATCAATTCTGGTGCAGATTTGAGTATAGCAGTCAAAAGATCGCTCTGCCTCGCGTGTGACCATGGCCTCAATGTCTGAGAGAACTCTGACAAAATCGTGTTTCGAACAGAGACCTTTTCGGTGAACTTGTCCATCCATTCAACGCTATCAAGACCAAGGCATATATTCGATTCTTCGGTAGAAAAGGCATGACTTTCGTCAGGATTAATACCTCGGGGATAAAGTCCTGACGAGGATATTAACACACCTAGGTTTGGTGACGTACAGGCGAGTAGTAAAAACTCATGAGCAACATCGGGAACGGACTTCTTCAGCGGAGCTGACCCTTCCTCAGCCTGGTCATACCAATAGAGTGTTGCAATTCGTCCCAAGAAGCCAGCATTTAGAACCTTTGTCTTAGCTTCTCGTGGTACGGCGTCGTCGAGAAGTATTGAACTTTTTAGCGTTTCAAGAATATCGCGAACTGTGCATGGAGGATCGTCTCTGATATCTCTGGTGATCCCTGGCAGGAAATCTCGTTGATTGAAAAGGTCCCGCTTGCATTCGATTGGAATGAACTTCACCAATGACAGCAAGAACCGCAGAGAGTTCGTTCTAACCGATGGCTTTCTGGGGTCTTCAACACCATCGCCAAGATATCTTAAAGATAAGTTTCGTGATAGATTTCTGAAAGTATGATCTCTGGCAAGAAAAACTAGCTTCGCGAGGACACCTCCATTGAAAATCACTATCTCCCTGAGCAACCGCAGAACTGGGGAGATCACAAAGTCTTTGTTTTTGCGTGCCTCCAAACCTTTTGCAACTAACTCTCGCTGCCGCAATTGTAGCACCGTACGACCTAGTCGCAGCCCATATTCCGACAAGTCGAGGATGGTAGAAATAGTCTTCAACAGCAGCGCAAGAACTGCCGGAACAGCAGATTGAAGGTTCTCATCAGACGATTGGCAGGCACAACTCCAAGCCTGCATAATGTCGGTCAAAAATACATTCTCTGTATCATCCTCATCCGAGGGTTTCTGCAATTCAAGGAAGTCTTTGAGGATGGCAAGTCGCCCTCCATTTTCGCCCTCAGCGCTGGCAAACCCGTCCAGGAATACTTTGAGAGATTGAATTGCTAAAGGGGTCAGCAGAGTACTGATTTTTAGTATTAGAGGTGTGTGGAAAAGTACCATGTCTTGAGCGTCCGCTGTCCTGATCAAAAGCAAGGACTTGTTTTAAATGTTTCCCCGATCGAATCTCTACGGGAGGTCCCGCAAAAGGACCTGAACGACCAGAGGAGGTTATCTTCTGGCGTTTGAGGTAAGCTTCATTGCCGTCTACATTCTCCTCCGCGGGTCGTTTGGCCATGTCGCTCGATGTGTTTGCTTCAGGCAGTATGAGATTTGTCTTTGCGAAGCATTCTTCGCTGGTGTCCGCCCTTTTGTTGTTCTCGCATATACTTCGAAAATAGATTACATGCTTTGCGTTGCGTTGCGTTGCTCTGCTCTGCTCTGCTCTGCTCTGCTCTTCGTCGCTGGCGGGGCGGGTTGGATACTACACGATACGAGACGTTGGGATGCGAAGCGATACATTTTTTTCTTTGATGACAAGGATCATTCGTAGGTAATGATGTACCTAAGGTAAGCTAGGCGGCCGGCATTGAGGCGGTGGGGCTGGCTTGGCTGTCCCCCAGCCAGGGTATGGGTATAAGTAATACACACGAGGCAGGTAGATAGTGTCGCGCGATAAGGCGGAACAGCACAACAAGAACCAGGACCTGCGCCTGCGCCTGGACTGGCCCTGGACCTGGCCCTACCACCGACCTATGTAAACAGAGCTCCAAGCTTCCCGTCACTTCACTGCTCTTCACTCCTCCGTAGGTAGCTATTATAGCTGCCCACTTGCCTCACGACGCTATCAGAACCTCCGTCCTGGCTTTGCAGCTTCATCACTGTCACTTTCACCACCACACCCTCACCTCCACCACCATCATCAGCAGCTTGCTCGACCTTCACCTTGCAGCAGTTCGGCTTTGCACTCCTCGCTCACAGGACGATGTCTTGCGCCGCAGTTCTGCCCTCATCGAGTGTACAGTCATGACCAAGCTCTATTGTCGCCAACAGCCAGGATTTCGCTCACAATGGCTCCCCCACCAGTAATTACGCCTTCGACTCCTCGGCGGAATACACCACGAGCTTCACATCTGCGACAGGTCAGCAACGGCAGCTCGGAAACTACGATCATGAGCCGCCCAACGACTGCGGCATCAGATACTGGGACCATCCAGCATGATCCAATTCCCCCGAGACTGGTGATTGAAAGAAAGTGTGTTCTGTGGGTTCATGACGAAGGCTTCTCTAAGGAGGATGTCGTTCTCAATCTCGACTTGTTTCCCGAGGTCAAAGCCGGGGATCTCATGGCCATCGTGCCGTTGAAGCCGGAGTCCGGGCTGCGGGATTTCCAGGAGAGGTCGCAGACAGTCAAGAGAGATTCAGATACACTCTCGACATCGATGCAGAGAGAGCGGAGCTCGTCCAATCCCAGAAGTCCAGGTACATCCAATGGCAACTCAAAGAGACATGGGAGTGATGCGAAACATGACCCTGATCTCCGGCATCGCTATGTACTTATTGCCCGGGACATGCCGAAAGACATGAAGGCCAAGCAACCTAACCTCGAGGTCTCTATCGCAAAGCATATTGCAGATGCTTTCAGTCTAAAGGCTAGATCTCATGTCTTACTTTCCACGGTATGTTTGCCTCTGAGGTTATTGGTGAGCGAGTTCTGATCTATTTTTAGACCGATGCAGCACAGAACTCTGCATCCCATGTGGAAATGTCATTTAAGGATGAATATCTGGCAAGGTCTGACATGTGGAGATTGGCTGTTGCTGAACTTAGCAACAAAACGGTCTTTAAGGGTCAGAAGATTCTCTTTATGGGTACAATTAAAGCTCAAGTGACTGCTGTTTACGTCGACGGTCGAAAGGTTCAAAGTGCTCTATTCTCCACAAATTCGAAGCCAATCTTTCGAAGTGAATCTGCTCGTTATGTCTTATTTATTCAAATGTCGAAGGAGATGTGGGACTTCGATTCGGAGGGATCTGGTGAAATCATGTTCAACAAAGTTGTCAATGGCTTCCTCCCAGCACTCTTCAAGAAATGGGCATCGCTCAAGGCGAAACATCTCGTCAGTATTGTACTCTTCACGAGGATGGAATATGATACTGGAATTGCATCCGAGCTGGTAACGAGTACCCATGATAGTTCGTATCATACCGGCGTTCAAGCAGATGCAAACAAGAAGCCTTACAAAGACTTCTACAGAGTAGTTGTCAGCGAGATGGCAAGCGGCTCATGGACCACCATCCTATACCAACTGAAGCGTGAGTTCAAATCATTCCGCAGGGACATCTCCCTGCATCGTATTAATACCGTGAACTCTGTCGAGTTATCTCCCGAAATGAACACTGGCAGCAGCGTCCTTGGTACTCGTATCGAAGCCGAGCCATCCCTGGCCATGCATGGAAATGTTCTTGAGGCTATCAACCTTGCTTCACAGCAGTTCTCTCACGACTACATTGATCGAGATCTCATGCGAACCGGTATCTCAATTGTAGTTATCACGCCTTGCCCGGGCCTTTTCGAAGTCGACTATGAAACCCTGAGAATGACGACAGAAAACCTTACCGGAAATGGCATTGGCATTGACCTTGTATGCTTACCAAAGATGCCCTTGCATTCTGTCCCTTTGTTCAGATATCGAAATCCTCAATATGCTACCTTTCAAGAAGCTCTGCATTTCAAATCGCTTCGAAGCGAAGATAGTACACCTCGCCAGAACGCGGCCATTTTTGGAAGCAGTTTCTCGTCACTGAACGAATCCTTGTCTCCAAACAAATCGGCGTACCGTGAACGAACTGCTCGTGCTGGGTCCTTTGGCGCAATCCAACCTCCTAGTGAATGGTCGTATGCCATTCCGCATTGGCTTGATGTCTCCTTCTGGACGGGGGCGTCGCAAGATCTCCGTCTCACAAATCCATCCGCAAAGACCAAGAAACGGCTTTTCAGGACCACACCTGTGCAACGTACTCCTGATTTTGAAGTTCGATGCAAGATGTATGAAATGGAGATGGCAAGCGTCATGGAAAATGTGATGACAGAAATTGCCGTCACGCCGCTGCAGCATGATGCCTTATTCCCACAGATGATTTTGGGGCCACGAGAACCGCCCGGCAAAAAACAAGTTCCTGATCGAGAGGTACAATCAGAGACAATCAGAAGGGACAGAGTCTACGGAAGTTTATCTGAATTCGTTAGTGGTCCATCAAAGCCGCTGACAGATAGGCACTCTTCCCAAGAGGACGAGAGATTCTACAGAGCCCTGGAGACCTTTGATGTTACAAGAGCTGAGCTTCTAGAAGACTTTCCGGATGCTCGATATGGCGTAGATACTAAAAGGTATTTCAAGACAGGCAGTGAAGAGGCAGCCAGGGGCCTTCTCGCTGAAGATCCCAAAGTATTTGGGACTTCATACAGTCATGACATCGGAGCTTCAAAGAGAACCAGTTTCTTGTCACGGCCAGCTTCCGCAAAGAGTAGCCAGGACTCCAAGCTCACAGGAGAAACAACAAAACCTCGGAAGGAGAGCATCGCCAGCACTCTGACTGGCAATTCGCGGGCGTCGCCTGTCAGACCAGGCAAATTTGGACGTCAGATCAGCCTCGGCAAATTTGGATTTGGCATTGCTGCCCCCAAGGCCGCAACTGCTGAAATTCAGATTGAACATGCAAGTGCAGGGAAGCCGACATCCCGAACTCCAAACTCCCAAAATCCCAAAATGAACGGGGGAGCTGAAGTTGCAAGCCAATTACTTGCCGCCAAGAATGTTCACGGTCTTGATAGGCCATCATCATCCTATGGTGACCAGTCCAAATTGAAAGCCGAAGCCTCTGCAGCAGAGAAGATTGGAACGCGGGATGAGATTGACACTGAAAGTCTAGAGTCAACTCGGCCTATAACCATTAGAAGTGCCTTGCAGTCATTGGATTCAACAAATCAATTTAAGTCGCGATCAGTTCTCGGATCCTTGTATGAGGTAGCTGACCGGCGCGATGATGATCGCCTTTTACACACTGTGCGACATGACGACAATCAGAAACTATACAACTCAAAGTTACTTGCCGGATCGGTTCCAGAGCTACCTGCAACGCTATCTCCAACAAAAGCTTTGTCCCCCTGGCTAACCGTGTTGAATCCATCGAATCCAGCTGCTAATATCTCAACTGGACCAAGTTCCTATCGGCGATGGCAGCATGTTTTCCCTCGGCCAGTCTTAACAAAGACGATGAAATGGAAATCTCTTTGCTCTCCGGCATCAGTACCTCTGACGACCGAGTACTTCCCTACAAAACATCAGCTCGATACAGAATACCAACAAAAACCATACAATATATCTCAAAACCCCGAGGAAGACCTGAACGAGGTACCAAAAGATCGGGAAGAGCTCCTCAGGGAACTTGTTAGCTTACGTCTTTCCCATGGCTTCCAGATAGTTGTGGGGCCTGCCGTGGCTCATGCCTTTGGTCAGAAATCCATGAAGATTGCAAATGTTTTCGACCCTGGACGCATTGCGGAAGATGGAGCCAGCGTATTCATGTCAATGGGAAACATAATCCATCAACTATCATGCGTAAATGAGACTGGGGTTGAGATCAACATGTTTATCCGTAAACCGACTGCGACAGCGACAGGCTCCGGATCTCTCATTCCCACGGCTTATAATCCGGCCATTCGAACCACTTTGGCTGATGAGTTCGCTTCGAGACTTGTTCTACTCGGCAAGCCAAAGGAGGAATACAATTGGAATTACGTGGATGCTTTCATTGCTGGCATCGCTGAGGAGATGTCGGAGAATCTACGCTTCTGGAGAGCTCGATTCGTTTTAATTCCTGTAGAAAGACCTACTCAGTCGCAGCGGCGTCAGGGAGAAGATAATGAAGAGGAAATCCGGCTAGAGGGCATAAAGAAACTCACGCAGATGTGGCAGAGACACAGAGTTCTGACTGCCTCGGAGCGAAGGTTTCAGAGCCTAGGATCCAGGAAAATGAAAGATCCAAATCCTCTTGACATTGTTTACAAAACAGAGGATCCGTCAATCGTCGTCACTGCTGAATTGGAGACATTACCCTTGGTAGAGACTGGGGATGTGGGTCCTCGACGAGGCTTACTGCTCGAGCACGAACGCTTCCGCAAGTCAAAGCTTGATATTGCAGGACTAGCAGATGCCATACAGTCACCAGTCGAAAGAGGTGGGGTTCGTATGCAGAATCGCAGGTGGCATTTTCGTCTACACTACAACTGTTTCATTGGTTCTGATATGACTACTTGGCTCATTGAGAATTTCGAGGATGTAGAGACAAGAGAAGAGGCGGTCGAATTAGGAAATTTTCTTATGGCAAAAGACGAACTTCCGAGACAGAGAGATAAAGAACTGGTAAAAGACACAGACAAAGACATGGGAATATTCGTCCATGTCGAGAAACGCCACCCGTTCAGAGACGGGCAATATTTCTACCAAGTAACGGGCGAGTTTGCGAAACAGCGTCCTGAAAGCCGCAGTGGCTGGTTCGCCACAAAGAGACGAGACAATTCGATTCCATCGACCCCCATGTCTGATCATGTGTTCAGAGACTCTCCGAGACCAGAAAGATCGAGATCAAGCTCAAACCACGATGACAAGTCGACAGACTCCGGGGCAACAACTCCAACGACCCTTGGGGCTGCTGCAAAGCTACCCAAGGTTTCCCTCAGCAAGGTTATGAAGTACGATGTTGACCATCGCAAGCGTTCATATCGACCTGAGAGGATACACTTGCATTATGATCGGCTCCATAACCCCGACAATTGCTATCATATTCGAATCGACTGGATGGGGGTCACCGCCAAGCTGATTGAAGATGCGATAGGATCGTGGGCTTCAACGGCAGAGCGGTATGGTCTGAGGCTCGTTGAGGCACCTATGGGCGAAGCCTGCTCCATTACCGAATTGCACCCATTTAGAAGCCCATACATCATCGACCTCGTGTGTCAACCTCCAGATCAGCAGCCCAGGACTTACTTTGATATCAATTCTTTCGGCCCACAGCCACAGTCCAGTCCAGCAAGCCGCCATTATTACCAGAAGGCCATAATGAAGAAATTCAATTTTGTGCTGGATATCGAAGCAGCCAAAAACTTCCCAGCAAACGTTGACGTCACGTATTCTTGGGGCAAGCCGAATTTCAAGTATTCGCAGTACATACACCGATCTGGAGTGCTGCTCGCACAGATTACAGACGAAGGAGCCCTCTTACTTCTCGCCAATCGCCTGTACAACAACCGAACCATGGTGTCGAGAGAGTCTGACAGGTATGTCAAGGGCCATTTGGATAACAATACTCGCACCGTTTCCTCTCTCTACGGGCACGGCGTGATGTCGGATAAGCCTACTCCTGTCAATTCTCCTATGCTCCATCCTTTCATGACTAACCTTGGATCTCCTGTCTTGCGAGCTACTTCTGACGTTTTGGGACCCAGCCTTGCCGGTTCAAAGCTTGTTAATGCTGTCACGCCTGAGTCTATTAAGAATGAACTAGAGTCATTTTGTCACGATGGACCAGCTCTGGAGGTGTTTTACAAGGAGGTCTTTGAAAAAGCTACTCCTCCGAGTGCTACACCACCAAATCTCAGGAGTCCTTACGCTGGTAGCGTTCTTGACTCAAATATTCCCACTCTAGGTCTCCCGCCGGGTTTGTTAGCAAGAGATAGTAGCCCGAGCCCGATGAGGCTGAGCGGCGTCCCTATGCCTCCATTTGGGCGGAGACAGAGTGTACAGATCGGCGGTGCAGGTTCCATGGGAGATTCAAGACAAGATAGCCCAAGAGGGAGCGTCATTGAAGGCGATAAAGCGGCATGAGGAGCGATTAGGTACTAAGAACGCGGAGGTTGATGGACTGAAATCTACCCTGGACTGACCCCTTTCACATTGACCTCATGTTTGTACATCTATTCTATCTGTGTATGACTATTTCTTTATTTGCGTTGTTCTTGCGGAAGCTGAGAGCTTATACTGTAGCGGTGCAAGCACAGAATTTCACTCTGCATCGTCTGCATGTGCTGCGTGTACAGCCATTTGGACCCTGGCGTCAAGGAGTTTTGGCGTTTTCATTTTGGGCTTCCTAATCATAGCGACTGTGACGGCATCAGAGCGCAGTCCTAGATCTGTCGTTGACCAGCCATCTGACTTACCATGGACGTGCGTTCCGCTTCCACCAAATTCGCTGAGAGGAATTTCCAATTTTCCCACCTCTTCAAATCCTAATCTGCAGGTGCCGAAGTTCAGCATACGCTCCCAGGCAATCAACTTTGCCAGTGACCTACTTTCTGTATAGAGGGACGCCTAATGGGGCACCACTTAGATAGCAGGTCATGCACTGCTGGTCCGCCTTCTCCAGACCATGCCGCACCAAGCCTGCACCAATTCCACGTCGTTGATGGGATGGTGCAGTAGCAAGTTGTTCAAGCACTATATTCTAGTTAAATCTCGTTTTTCGGGGAGTTCGAAGTGGCAGACACGAGTCAACGAAGGATGAGTGTAAGCATTACCGAAACAAGGTCCTTTTGGCCGATGATCTCTCTCCATCTTCGTCATCTTTGAGCGAAAAGTCTGACGGAGGGTAAGCTTGATGCCTTCTGGCAGTGGATTGGCTGCCCGAGAGCAGTCGATGCTGGTGTATGCCTTTGAAGCTTGAGCTCGTCAGTGCACAAAACCGAAGTCCGGATAAAGATTGCGGCTGTTCCGCTTCTTTGCATCTGTATTTGGGTGACAGAAGCAGGAATTGGGAGAGTAAATAACCCACCTTTTCGGACCACACCCAGATCGCAAACCCAACAATAACCTCCTTCTTTCCAGGCGGAGTCTCGACCACTTTCAGCGCGGTTGCGTCTTCTCCACATGCTTCGCAAGCAGCCAACTCAGATCTAATACTGTTCACGGTCCATGCCTGGCGATCCTGTTTCTTGCAATTTGCAAACTCCACCGTAAGGCGCTGACTGGTGGAGACGGAGAGCATGCTATTAGATCGTCAGCCAGTTGTACGATGTTCAATGCTGCAATTTGCTTGAACTGCGAAGTTTCGAGGCAAATATATTGGAGCTGATCTGATTGCAACTGACAGTGCTCCTATCTCCTCTGCATCATGGGCACTTGCTGGGACTGTCTTGAGAACCATTGTAGATCGATTTCTCGCGATGTGCACTGAGAATGGATTTGGCGTGTAGTAATAGGGACTCGTGAGTTGCTAACCGAAATATCCCTATGTCTACCAACCAGCAATCATCCGTTGTTTTGGCTCCTATTTATTTGTTGGCATTTCAGGCAGCTGGAATCTTGTGGGTTCCGCTCTTCTCGCCGGCGGGAGCTCGCTTGCGCTCCAGTACCTGCTCTGCCTCTGTTAGAATATAGGGACTGTAGGCGTAGACTCAGTACTATAGGCTATACTACTAAGTACACTACCCCTTTATATAAGAAATTCTCTCTCTTTATAGTAGCTCCTTATATAACTATAATTCTAATATAATAGTAATTTAAATTAATTATATAAGACTTTAAAACTTTATTTTTATTAAGATCTTTACTTTATAAACTCTTAATATACTTATTACTATACTATAATATTATCCTAATTAAAAGTACTAATTTCTATTATTACTAAAGCCTTAAAAAGTAAAACTTTACTAGAGTTTAATACTTCTTTAAATAAGAGCTTAAGATTAAATAAGAGCTAGCTAGAGCTAGAGTTCTTTATTACGTTCTTATTATAGTTAGTATACTAAATAGTATTACTTAATAGAATACTTATACTAAAGAAAAAAAAGAAGCTTTTAAAATAATTATTAACTTAATCTCTAAGCTTCTTTTTCTTAAGTATAGAGATATTATTAAATTAAATAATACTAAGCTTCTTTAAGAAGCTATTTATACTAATAAAAGTAAAGTAATTTAAGAGAGCCTTATCTTTACTAATATAAGAGATAATTTCTTTAAGATAAGATTTATTTTAAAGAAGGAAACACTTTAGAACTATATTATAAGGCTCTTACTCTTTAAAGTAAAGCTTAGTAATAATAATAAACCTTTTACTAATAAAGATATATATCTTAAGCTATTATAGTCTTTACTAGTGTTTAAAGCTTAGATTGCTTACCTTAAAATTATAAGACTTAGATCTTAGAGATATTATATAAAAGCTAAATAAATATTAGATTTAATAGAGAAAATACCTTCAACTTATAACTACTAGTAATACTATAAACTATACAAATAAAAGTTGTAATAGAAGAAGAAGTAGTAGAGATAATAAAGGCTAAAGAAGTAAGGCTACTTATATAAGAGAAGTAATATATATAAAAATAAGAGAGAATAAGAATAATAGAATAATAATAGTAGGGGTAATAGCTAATAGAGATATAAAAGGCGTATAAAAAAGATAAAAAATAGAGGAAATTACTCTAAATTAAGCTAAAATTAGTATACCTAGTATAAAAGCTATAGCTACTAGTATATAAATTATATAAAAGCTAAGAATACTTATATAAGAAATAATACTAATAAAGTAAAAGAAATTAAAGATAATAATACTTATCTTATATTCTCATTAAAAGAGATTTACTATACTAAAGATATAAAATATACTTTATTAATAATCTCTATTATAGAATCTATCTAAAAAATCGACTTTAGCGCTACTTACTATTTTAGTAGAATTTTAGCTAAGTTTAAGTAACTTAAGCGCTAGTATAACGCTAAATATATTAAAATAGCGACTAATTTATACTTAATAGCTAAAAGGTATAAAAATTTTACTATTAATAAGTTAACTCTTAAAGATATATAATATATACTTAACTTTAGAGCTATAAAGCTAGTATTAATATATTAACTCTTAGACGAAAGAATTAATATAGAACTAATTAAGATATTAGTAAATAAATACTAGAATAATAAACTAGCCTTTATAAGTATAAGAAACGAAGGTTTATATATTTTAGATATAAATCCTTAATATTAAGTTATATATAATATAATTCTATCTAACTTAAAGCTACTATAAGAATAAATAAAGAGTTAGCTTAATATAAAGAAAATAAAAGTAGATCTGCTTTATAAGTATCTAAGCTATATAAATTACACTTATTTAAAGAAACTAGTTACTTATAATAGTTATAAAATAAGACTAATTTCTATTCTAAAGCTAAAGGAAAAGAGGTACTATAAGGCTTACTTTATAAGCTATATAAAAGAGCACTTTAATAAGAAGTTAGATAGTAGAACTAATATACTTATTTATTAATTATATATTAATATCTCTAGTATCTTATTACGCTTAATTTATAGCTATAAATACTTCCTTTTAGTAATAGATAATATTATAAAGATATATTAAGTAGATCTCTTAGTTAATAAATCTATATTAATTATTTAATTAGTTATTTGGAAATTAAAGCTATAGCTTAAAACTTAAGGCTAAAGTAAATTCTATATAATTATCTACTAGAGGACTAATAATAGTAAGAGTGAATTTAGTCCTAAGTTTATTAATTAGCTATAAGAGAGTAGAATTATTCTTAAACCTTCCCTTTTAAATAAATACTTTTTAAATAAAGTCGTAGAGCAATAGATATATAAACTAGCTAAGATTATACGCTTAATCTTCTATAATATAAAAATACTTAAGAATATATAGTACTATACTATTAAGTAGGCGATAAAGCTAAAGAATAGATACTTAATTATTACTTTACTATATAAAATAGTTACTAGACTTACTTTAATTAAAGCGTATAAAAGATAACTTATAGACCTCTTAAAAATAAAAGTATTTAGCTTTATAATATATCTTTTATATCTACTAGAGCTATATTAAAGTAAAATAAAGTAAAGGATAATTCTAAGGTATTTTATATTAGTAAGTATAACTAATACCTTAACTTATAAGCTCTTAAATATAAAGACTTTTAAGGAACTAGAAATAACTAACTATAGCTTTAATAAGTATTTAATATACTTTATATATATTAGTAGTAAGTAAACTATATTAAAAGGTAGTAATAAAGTAATAGAAAAACTTTTACTATTAGCTACTAGTCTAGTACTTACTAAAAAGCTAGTTAAGGGTACTAAAAGCTTAGAAAGACCTCTGGGAATAAAGCTAGCTATAAAGGCTAAAAGATATCCTAAAGAGAGGCTAGCTATAAAAGCTAAAAATCCTTTAAGGGAAAGGTTAGTTATAGAAAATATAATAAGAGATACTAAAGGAGTATTTAATTAACGCCTTCTTAAATAAACTTAACTAGTAAATATATCTAATAATACTTTACTATTAAGATATAGTAAGAAATAATATAGAAAGTAATACTTCAAGTAAGCTACTTAAGTAATAGCTATAAAGTTATACTCTTAGTAAATTCTTAATAAAGTACTAACTTATTAAATAGTACTAATTACACTTAAGAGTAAACTTATATAACCTCTTAAAGTTATAACTATTACAGAGACTTTAAGAGAGAATCTAGTAGAATAAAAAGCCGCTATTCTTAAGGAATTATAAGTTATATAAAGCGCTAGAACTTATAAAGTATACTTTAATAAGCCTCTCTCTAGCTTAAAACTAATATCTTTAAGACTAGTTCTATATAATAAAATTAAATCTAATAGCTTTATAATATAGTAAAAAGTTAAGCTTATAGTAAAAAGCTTTAAGTAAAAATATAACTTTAACTACTTTAATACCTTTATATATATTATACGCTATTCTACTTTATAAGTACTACTCGCTATTATAGCTAAAAAAGATCTAAAGATTAAGTATATGAATATTAATATTACTTTCTTAAATATATACTTAAAAGAAGATATATATATAATAGTTCTAAATAATAAAACACTAGAGATATAAAACAAGCTTTACCTAGAGCTAAATAAAAGGAAAGACGTATATTTAAAGCTTTAATACTCTCTTTATAGCTTAAAATAAGTACTTAGGGAATAATAGCTCCTTATTAAAGATAAGATAAAAAAACTAAGTCTAGATATATTAGATAAAGCTAACTCTAATCTCTTTATCTTTAAGAATAAAGCGTATATATTAGTCTTTATTAATAATATACTAATTATAACTAACTCTACCGATTATAAATATCTTAAGAAATAGCTCTTAAAAACCTAGAAAAGTAAAGACCTTAGAGCTATTAATATATTTATAAGCTTATAAGTTAAGAGAAATAAGAAAAATAAGACTTTATAGATTTATTAAATAGCTTATATATAAAAGCTACTAAAAAAGTTTAAAATAGCTACAGCTAGAAGTAATACCTTATATATAACTACTAAAATAGTACTAAAGGAGTTAACTAAAAATAAAAGTATTATACTAGCCTCTTTTAAAGAGATCTCACTATTTTAATAGATTATTAGCTCTTTAATATACCTCTTAAACCTTATATAACCTAATATTACCTATGTAATAAGCTAACTAGGGTAGTATATATTAAATCCCCTTAAATCTTACCTTTAAGATATAAAACCTCTTCTCTAATATTTATAATATATAAAAAGTAATAAAATAATATTTAGAATTAGAATAAAATATAAAGGAAAACTAAATAATAATATATTTAATATTTAGACTAACGCTATATAAGAGATAGAATATAATAAGAAATCGTTCTAAAGATAAATAGTAAGGTTTTATAAGAGTCTAATCTCTTAAGCTATTAATAAGTAAAAGTCTATAGATCTCTTTAGCTTAGATTCTAAGATAATAGCTACTAGTAATAACTCTAAAGAAGTAGCTTAATTACTTAAGCTATAAAAAGACCTTAATATAAAGCTATCTCGAATTCTTATATTATATCTTAATAACACTAGAGCTAAATCTCTCTTAAAAGAATAGAAATTCTATCTAAAAGTAAAGTATATTAATATCTACTAGTTCTATATTTAAGATAATATAGTTTCTTATAATAAATTAGTAGTAAAGTATATTTTAGGAAATAATAATATAGCAAATACTCTTATAAAAGCTCTACTTTTAAAATCATTTAAATAATATAAGATATATATAAGGTTACTTAAAAAGAATAAGTTAGTTATAATAAAAAAAGAGAATAAGAATAGTTAAAGCAAGGAATTATTAATAAAGAAGCGATTTAAGTATACTCTTATACTATTTTATATACCTTAATACTATAAAATTACTAAACTCTTAAGAAAATAAGAGATATAAGTACTGTATATACGCTAGTATATTATAGGAGTTAATAAAGTATAATTAAGGCTTCTTATATAATATAAGTTATTAGTAATACTTTAGTTTTACTCTAGTGTCGCTTTAGGAATATTTAGTACTATACTACTTTAGAAAGCTTTATTTATTATAGATATAGAGAATAAGAGGGCTATTAGTGTGACGCCGCGTAGTATATAGAGTGTGGAGACCACCCTTTTGCCCCTGGCTGGCTCGGCTATAGCTACAGCTGTCCCCTTTGGGAAGTGCCTCGGCTAGCCCCTTTTCTAGAGTATATAGCTTCGAGAGCCTCCAGGCCTCTCTCTCTTCTGTAGCTTTAGATTCTCAAGAGACGACCTTTGTCTTCATATTCTATTGATTAGCATGTGAGGCAGTACTCCACGTGACGTCCTGTCTTTATAGCACTGGTAGTCACAATTAGAAATATAAGGACTATAAGCGTAGACTTAGTACTATAGGCTGTACTACTAAGTACGCTACCCCTTTATATAGGAGATTCTCTCTCTCTGTAGTAACTCCTTATGCAACTGCAATTCTGATAGCCTCAGGCTTAATTATAAGGTGGCTGTCTATCTTCAACGCCAAGTGTACCTGGACTTGCCACGTCTTTAACACTGAAAAGTGTGGATCGGAAAAGGAGTTTGATACAAGTTTGGAGGACTTGCAAGGACTTGCAAGCTGATACACAATGTCTGCAGAGGTAGGATGGGATATGTGGCTTGTGGGAGTCTCCCACGGCACATACTTTGCTTACACCACTGTCCACCTGCAAATGAAAGCCGGTAAGTCCAGGACTCAACAAATTCGTTCCAACACCCAAAGGGTTAATTTCCCACGAATGAGAAAGCAGAGTGACTTGGCTGCAGTCTGCTCAGCGCTCGCCGCGACATTTGCGAATGAGGTGCGCTGTTGGAACAGTCTCCAAGTCTTGCGAGGTGGGCATGGTATTCAGAAACCTACTGGCAGTATCACAGTGTCATGACTCTACTCGTGGGTATTTGGCACCACCTCACCGTTCTGTAACGAGGCCATAATTATTCAACTATTGTCCATGTTTTTGGAGTTCAATACAGCTGGACGGTTGCGGACGGAGCTATCGAGAATTTACAATTCTTAATGAGCAGCCTCGAATCATATATCGATCTTTGCAAAGTACGCCAGCCAATGTGAGGACACACATCTTGCTGCTTCACAACATGTTCCACGTCTTTTCGGGGCGGCTGACGGGATCTTAGGTGACCTCGTTTCATCCTGGCAAAATATGCCTTTCATAGCAGATAATTGGAACTGAGTGTATGGAAGTGCCGATGATCTTACGAATGCGTCATTGTAGCTCCCCTAAAATGCCAATCATGAGTCTCCGACCTTGGATAACATCAACATGACAAATGAGATACATTGCTACTCGGCTCTCGCATCTTAATGACTATCTATTGAGGCATCTGCTGGAGTAGATTCGATGAGAATCGCCGTATTTTGAGCTCCAGGAGCCGATCTGAGGAGACTCTTTGTCTCGAGAAGGATGAGGGGGCTTATCCATATGTATATATGGGATTCATAGAAGTCACGGGTAGATTGAGATCTTCCACGCGACCGTCGGCGCGTTCGTGCAGCTGCATCTCACCTGTAGTGGGTTAAAATGTTCTGCGGGGTTTCCAATCCAGTTTACCAACACATTTGTCATTTCTCACATAGCGAATAGGTACACTGATGACCGTTGAATGCTACACGAAACCAACACTGATTCGCGGTGAATGCCTCACCTGTCTCATCATTCTGCAGAGATCTGGAGTTTACCATTCCTTCCTACAGCTAGAGCTCAACTAAAGTACAACGTTCAAGAACAGAGACATACTGTATCTCATGCCGTTAAAATGTATGAACCTCAGAAGACGCTCCTATCGGCATTTATATTGATCGTTCAGTTCGGAACTGTATGATTTGTTCGGAGACCAGCGGCAAGTGCGGGATACTTTCCACGATCTTTGCAGCTCGTCAGGCTTGGTTTTATCCTCAGAATTTAGGTATAGCCCTGACGTGTAAAACTCCGGTTCTTCTTGCAGCGAAGCAGAAATGATCGCACTAAAAAGCCCTTATCAAGCAATGGAAATCACTACTTCTGATTGTAATGCTATTAGCCGAGGGTCCGCTGGTCGTGTTGGTTAGCCACCTTTCTGCTTCACTACCTGACAGATCACTCCTGCTCATCGAAGCTGACTTTGAAAATGCAGATGATGTTGTAGATGTTTTCCAGGTAATTGTATTTTCTGACACAGACTATATCCCATGGAGTCACTACAGTGTTACCCAGAAGAGCTTGGAGGGAAAGATTGTAAGTCAATTTCAAGTTTTTAGCCGGGCTTTGGCAAGCAACTTCACCAGTATTGCAATTCTTGGTATGATATCCTTGAACGAAGTTTGTTGTTCGACATACACAAGGCAAAGTCTTGGGAAGGTTTTCCGCAATCGACTATCGGGCGTGAACTCGTGACTCGCCCACCAAGTTCCAGTCCACTTCCTTGATATCCCTTCCCAGTACCGGTCGAACTGAACAGCGATCGATGGGCAGGTGAGTGAGACGATGGGCATTGGCCGTGGGGTGAAGTTATTTCTTTACTCAAACCAAGTGAAACCCTCTTTCCAGGCAGAGACATGCCATGGCAAAAGCCCGAAGATTGTGGTTGTTCTGGTCCATAAAGGCAATTTAACTTTTCTCGTCGAAGCATTGACGGAGAGCTGATTGCAAGTAGCACAAGAATCAGGAGGCTCAGCTCGCCTTGCATCCTTATTACCGACTGGACCTGCCATTGGTAACCCTGGTCTCTCCACAAACACGATGAATTCATAAGCTCATGTTTGATTGTGTCCCTATGAATGTCAAAAACATCAAGAACCTCTGGCAGTTTCTAGACATGACGCCGTAAAATTTGGTATGTCTGAGGCAGACATTGATGACCTCTCAAATAAAGCTGTTAGCGAGGCAAATAGTGCAGATCTGTTCGACTGTCTTTACTGGCAGTGGTACTTGTGCCACGGATACTGTGGTCAATGCCAGGTGCAAAGCTCTGGGGTTTGAGGATTGCGAGTTATCAGTGCTTCGATTCTTCCATTTCCCACTGGGGGAGGGGCATTACCAGGCTGCTGTCTACGATGTTGCCGAGCAGGTATGTGTCTCCAATATCCATCCGACAGTGCAACTACTGACTGTAAGAAGAGGTCGGAGGTGACAGCGAGAGATGTGAATTAGGACTGACTTGCACATTGTATGAGCTCACTTGAGCTGGGAGATGAGTTTTCTATTGATGAGCGTAGAGGTGCAAGCCAGGAAATCAAACGTAAACATAGACATAGACATAGCGTGATCAGGATTCTGAGCGCAATCGAGTTCCGCATTCCATGGGGTAAGAAGATTTTGAGACGTGATTGGGCTTTCCTCACGAGAAGGCGGACGGAGGATCATGCCCTGCATAGCTAGGTACCAATTTCGAATATCGCATGCACAATTGAGAGGGGGCGTTGGATGGATGTCCCTTTCTTCGTCCCGTTCCTCTCTCTTTCTGTCTCTAGTCTTACTTCTCAAACTTGTTCCTCACCCAATCTGTCCTTTCCTATCTTTAATTCCAATTCTTTGCTTTGTAAACCCGCGTGCCATATCACAATGGTTCTTTCCACGGGTTCTGTCGGGAGCACATTTACACTCTCGTTGCCCATTCCGTTGACAACGGCGTTTGTACCTGCTTCGTCTTGTCTTTCAAATGTGTACCAGTATTTCCCCGACCCAAGCAATACCCTTGAATACTACCTTCAACTCGGCGCCGAAGATCAAAAGAACAAATGTCTACCTCCAGGATGGGCCGCCACCTCTCAGTATTTCTCACCTGCTGTCTGTCCAACAGGATACTCGCAGGCTTGCTGGGTGACATCTTCATTAGGTGCTAATAGCGAAACTCTAGCCACATGCTGTCCTTCTGGATTCACGTGCGCGACTCTACCGGGAGTGTCGTATCCCACATGGCTGCCATCCCTGTACTCGACTCAGGTGTGTGTAGGGAGTGGCGGGCAAGGCAGCTCGATAGGGACATTCGCGGTGACAAAAGTGACGGACGGAACGACTGTGGTGTCGAATCCAGTCTTATTGGGGGGTGTGAATGCGTATGGAGTGAGCATTAGGTTCAAAGCTGAGGCCACAGCTCCCACTACTGGTGGAAGCCATTCGGCCACAGGAAACCCTTCGGCAACCACTACCTCGGCAGGTGCGAGTTCTCCAAGCACCTGGATGCCAAATACTGAATCGGGACTCTCGACAAGTGCGAAAGCCGGAATTGGAGCTGGTGCTGGGGCTGTGGGGGTTACTTTGCTTGCATTTCTGGCTTGTTTTGCCCTGAGACGACGGAAGCGTGCTACAGTGCACGTCGATGAGATTCAGCAGTACCCTGACCAGCCAACCATGTATGGGAGCGGGAGTGGTCCCAGTCCGGAGTTTTCCGAGTCGAAGACAATCAATCCTGAGATGGGCGTTGGAAATGAGGTTGGGGAGTTGCCTGGTCATGGAATTCAAGCGAAGAGGGCGGCAAGAGGCGATGTGCATGAGCTTGGTTGACGTGGTGGCAATACAATGTAGTATTGATAGCTTGTGGATTGAGATAGGGTCCTTTGATTCTTGCGTTCCCATACTGTATGTATCCTATTATAGGAAAATTTCTTGCATGGCGTTTTGAGACATGTGGGGTCTGTCATGAGTAAGACATGGTGTTTTCTTTGGCCTCCACATTTCTTGGGATGGGACGTAAGAGGTCACTTAAGAAATGCTTCACAAAAACAGATCGATTAGATTTTGCAGTTCTGAACCTGCTATGGTGTTTATTATCCCGGTATCATCTAGCAGCCCTCACTGGATCATGCTAGTGCAGCGATTAACTCGTGTTGGATCACATCTCTACGTCGATAAGCCCTTTCATCACAGACTGCCAGCCTTCAATGAATGCTAAAGAGTAGCAAATATACCAGAAACAGCAAGTCTCCACTTCGGATTCCGCAACTACGAGAAGATCAGGGAGATCTTCAAATTGCCCATCTCTCACTTGAGCGCTGCTCAAGGATACCAAAAGTTTCTGTATCGTCAGATGAGCCTTGTAGACAAGTACTGAAACTGCATCACCCGAGAAGACACAATAAACAAGTCGCCTCGTGCAGCTCTAAATCAGGCAATTTTGGCTCGTCGATAGCAATTCCGCCATTGAAGTGAGAGTCGGACACAAGTAAGATAGCCAACCACATTTTCATATAGAAAATTTCAAAATTGATATCGAGCATTTGGCGAATCGGTCCCCAGGTCTCTGAGCCTTAGAAGAAGAACCCCTAGATAGAGGACTGATACCCATGGAGAAATGCCATTCCGACGACGCAATAAACAAAATTGATACAGAGACATGATTGTTCGTAAATTTTACTTGCCAGCCACGAGCCAATCTTAAAGATCATTTGGAACAAGGCGCACTTGTTGCCTACCACAATGTAGCAGTTATATGCAAATTCAAAAGGCAGAATCTAAGCTTGAGACTCCGAGTCATAGAAGATGCAGGAGGTAATCTTCAGCTTGGGGATCTCGCCGCGTCCAGAAATCAAGCAGTTGTGATGAGAGGAGAAGAAGTCATTAGGAGGATGGCCACCTTGACTTTAAATTCAAGGACGGTGCGAGCATGTCCCGGATCACACTTCCTGTAATCTGCACCAAAGACACCGGTCAGTCCAACTTTTGTCGGACCAGAACCTTATCTTCAAGACTTTGGAAACTCAAAATCTCCCCAGCAAGGCTTCCCCCTGAACCCTTGAGGCCCGCCTGCGTTCCATACTCACGCATCATATCACGCGTCCTTGGCATGCTGGAAGAGGTAAATCGCTCCTCCCGTGTGCTTTCATGCCCGACCAAAACGGGTTCCGTTAGCACTGCTTGATCGGGGCAATAGCAATCCAGCTTCCCCGGCGTTGCTGGAGATATCAACGAACATGGAAGAGTAAGAGTTGAACGAGGTCAAAGCGAACCAGGATATTGGAAGTTGAGGTGCCAGATGTTTGGCCAGAGATGCGAGCCTGCGGCAGCGTGGTCGATTCGTCAGCTGGCAGCAGCTTGAACTCATATATTCGGATTCGAGGACGAGCAATGGAGATGGATGGCAGGCAGTGGCTTTGCCATTTCACGTCTCATTGTATGTGAAGTAAATATAGAAATAAAGGCCGCTGCTAGATCCGTGCAGCGCTGGATCAGCAGCTCATGGCCGGCACTCTCGATTGGTAGTGAAGCTGTAATGTGAATAATTATCTTGCTCCACTCAAGAATCCAGCGTGGCCCGCCTGTTTGATATGGTCGAGGGTGCAGTCCTTTCCATTGTTTCCAGAAACGCTCGGGGGCCCTGAACCGGGAATGTGGGTTTGGTGATTCCAGACGGCGCAAGGCGAGATGGGATGGACGAGGTCAGATGAAGCGAGGCTGCTGATAGCGTGACTTGTAAAGTAGAAGCAAACGGGGGGAAATGTCTGTGTTCTTGGCTTCATCAAGAAGCAACATCGGACAGTGGCCACTCAGGCACATACGGAGATCCATGCGTCCTGATTAGCGGTGTGTGGCTTCGAAAACAGGTGGACAAGGTCGATGTCGAAGTGCCGGCCCGTTCAAGGTTCAGGGGAGGAAGGGAGGGAAGTGGCCGATTTGCAGCCTCACCGACTTCAAATGCTTTTGATCTGATGGTCGAATAATAATTGGCTCGTAGAATGCTCCTCCGGTGTGTGTGGTGGGTGAATTGTCTTGCTGACACCAGATCTCCTGCATGACTCTCAAGCTGCTTGCTGTGACCCTCGTCATGCGTGTCTCGGTGAGATGGGATTACCTTATCTAGGTACCTAGGTATGGAATGAATGGATGCTGATTCAAGTGTCGTTTCTGCGGCTCTGCCAGCGCTGTTGACCGCCGCCCAAAAGGCTTGAGAAATTTCAAGCTATTAGAATCCTGGAATCATTGCACTCCCTGGCCTCAGATCCAACCAAAGAAGAAGGACGGTCGGGCCTGGGACATATGTCGCATTCATCCCACTCTGATGGATGAACATTCCTTGTTGTACTGTAACGATGATCTGCCGGCCTCGGTGCTTCTCACGATGAGTACTTCCTTTCCTTCCAATGGCAATAGCAAGAGATGGCTACTGAATCCTGGACGGAAGACACGAATGCTGACTGCTAGCACAGATAACGGCGAAGAAGTGCATCCTCTTGAGCTTGAGCCGTTGATCATTAAGACTTGCCTCAGCCGATGGGGCTGAGATTTCGTTCTCTTTTAGGGTTTGATCAACTGCCATGCTTCGACCAAAGCATCGATATATAATACTGGCGATAGTGCATGAACAAGGCTGGAGCCTGCCCTTGACTGTTACCTAGTCACAGTAGCCTCATGTGACCCAATTTTCCCCCATCTTTTCCCACTTCATATTTCTTCTCGACCTATTTGGATGGTAAGAAGCCTAATGTACAAGTAAATGCCTGGAGCAGATATACACCTATCATATCTTTTTACAAGGGGTGCATGTGTGAACATATGGAAATTAATTGTGCTACAGCGAGTTCGGAATCACGTTCCCCAAGCATTGAGCGATCTTCAAGGTTTGCAGAGCCGACGAGCTGCCCTCTTCCGTTAACACTCCTCGCCTGGTTATCGCTGTTTCTAACAACTAACTTCCTACCTGGGTTCTCCTCGAGTAGAAGCTAAGTCAAGAGATGAATAGCCTCGTTCTTCGCATAGACAGCCTAGCAGATCGCAAATTGCAGCCTTGTTTCTAGCGTAAGTTTGGATATTTTTTTGTTCCAGTCCACATAGAACGACTATCCTCGCACCGTACAATTCCATTCGCCCTGAGCAGGATCGTGTCCACCGCCTCTTAACCCGGAGTCAAAGTAAGGGTAAGCCAAACTGGGGTCGCACAACAGCTAGGCATCTCGTATGCTGGCCAGGAACTCTCAAATGTGAGAGGTGTGGCAGGTTTGAGAGCACTATCTTTAGCCGGCCGTCCCAAATGCTGTAAGACTGCGTTGTGACTTGTGTCGTCCCTTGCTATTTCTTCTATTATTGTTCGTTCTCTAGACGAGCGACAACGCTCATGACTCTTGCGCCACTTGCCCCCCGATGAAGTGACTTAGAGATCGGCTTGTGTTATATCGTCTACAGGCAGATCGGGCCAGACAACGATACAAGATGAGATGAGACGAGACGTAGATGATCCAATGGAAGGCCTTTTGATAGTAAGCCAAGACGAATAAGGGAAATACCTCGGGGCGGCAGCCACGAAGAGTGTAAGGGAGGAATCGCAGTCAGTATACTTGCTTCATACGGGTTCAGCCTTGTTGCTGGCTTGCTGCCCAAATGCCCCTTGCGTTTGTTGCTGGAAGGTCTAGATGAAATCAAGCATCGACATTATTAAGGGACCAGGCCCGACACGAAGGATGCATCCTTGTCATACTATCGTCATTAGACAAGCTCTGATCCCAACCCAGCCCTTGTCTTCCTCCTTGGCTACTTCCACAAGTGAAAGCCTATTTTGTGTTTAGGAAGGCAGCGAAAACAAAACCGAAAGTTTGCTTGTGACTAGCTTGTCTACACTCCCGATTCGAACGTAATTTGGCTAGAATGTAAAGATGACAGGGAGAAACGTCCAGGACACGCGGCCAAATATACTTGTGTACTCCCTGTAAATTCATTATACAAGTCGAGCTAAGCTGTGGCACTGCGATCGTGGTAAGATAGATCCGGAAGTACCAGATGGGATGAAAGAAGAAACACAATCTCATCTTAATAAGCTCACTATTGTCGTCGTCGTCATAGACATGAGGTTCGCAACACTTCCAAGTTGTCAATACCCCGATGGTATCTCTTCTCTATCTTGTCATCAGCGCTAAAGGCGGACAGGCAAGTCAACGTCAAGGTAAAAGGGACGACGAGCTTATCTGCATCGGCGACACTGTGCGACGTTGCAAACAGGTAAGCCAGAGTACGTAAGGACTCTCTGCAGTACCTAATTGCTACGAAGACGAGATTAAAATGTAATAGTCCATCCAGTCCAAGCTTCGCTTCACAGAAAATATCCGGCTTTTATGCCAAGTAAAAATTGATTGATTGGCGAAAGAACACGTGAGACTATTGAAGGGGACGAGCCAAAAAGTCGGTGTGTGCCGGCGCCTCATGCTGGTCCCCCATGCAACCATGGTAGGATGGTAGGGACGAGGATGTCGCTCATCCATGCCCATGCCCTTGGCCACCTGCATGCCCGTGCCCCGTTCATTCCCTGCCTCGCCTGCCCAGATGGCCCGGCCTTGTCTCTTGTCCACTGCTCGGCCTCCCACCTCCACCTCTACTCTACCCAATTGCTGGCAGCTCCCGTCCTTCTACTTGATAACCCGAGCTTCACCCCCCAGGAACCCGACATCATCTTGTTCTTGTTTCCTCAACAACAACATCTCTATCACCGCCCCGTGTACCCCGCCTCCATCTCAGATCCCATATCTTGAATATCTATCCTGATCAATCCTAGCTCAAACTCATCCATTCATCAGTCGAATATCCACTACATCACGTCGTAAGATATCGTGCCTTTGGAGGCACATACAAACCACGGACAAAATAATTTCTCCCTCAGTGTTGCGAGGATACTCTGCCTCCTCCCCCTCTTCGCATCTACCTCCAGCTTCTTCACTAAACTTTCTCCACGACTGCCCTTGTTCGCGCGACAATGGCCACCATATGTTTGCACACTACCCAGCAGGCGCGCTGTTAGCATCTACTACGAATCTAGCCATTGAGAAAGCTCTGAGCCCGAATATTTGGTCTGTACAGGATGTCGTTGCTAGGAAGATTACTTTCCGGCGCAGGACCTTCGACTTCCGCACCGCGAGCACCCCTCGATTCCCACCTTGAAGACCAATTTACCTACAACCTCCTCTTTCCGGATCCGAATGCATTGTGCCATCATGATCAGGTCTTCCAGCTGTCTTCCGCGACAATTCTCGCGCCTGCCGCCCTGAGGGACATGGACCTAAATGGGGATATTGATCTGGACATGAGAGATGTGCGGGTAATCATTATGCAGGAAGCTACACCCTCTTCTGGTTCTGCGTATCTACTTTTCGACACTCATGCACCTCCTCCACCGTCTCCCTCGCTAGACCGGCAGGCTTCAGGAAATGGCCCAGCATACCCATCACGAACAGAGGGACGTCATTCATTGAATTCCCCACGAAAGATGAGCGTTGGGCAGATTTCGAGACCTGTCATTATTCAGGAACCCACGATACCACGAGCTTTTGGAGCCTTTGCTGGCAGGACACAACACAATAAGATCACGAGCAATAATGAGACAGCAGGGCAGCGCTCAGCTAGAGAGTACAGAGAAGAAGTCTCTTGCTTCGCAAGTTATATGTTCGGCAATTCAGATGTTATGGCCTACAAAGGGCTTGGCACCAAAGTTCACCCTCTACCTTCAGAATCCAGACCTCTGTTCACATCAGGTTCATATGCTGGAGATGGCTCGTTTGGGAGGTCCAGTATGCGAAGCAGTAAACTTGCCCAGTCGTTCACGTCGGATACAGTTCATGGGCCGACATCGGCTGGTTTCACAAGTCCAAGTACAGGAAGGGCTGTGGACAGGAAGAAGGTTCTCATCACACGCATGTTCCCGGTCCCTTTACCCAATGATGAGACAGAAGAAGCTACCCACAACACAACGCCTACACAGCAAAATGTGCAATCAAGTGGTGCCGCAGGCTACCCCTTCCCAAAGGTTGCCGCAAACGGATCGCACTCGGACGAGTTCAGAAAGCCACAGCCGAAGCAGAAACGAACGCCGATGTATGCTGTTGGAGTAGTAGTAAACTGGCCCCAGTCGACAACTTTACAACCTCCTTCCGCACCAGCTTCACGATCAAGCTTCCGTGGGTCAAGTTCTTACACCGAGCAGGAGTCCCTTCCTTCCTCATTCAACTCAGGACGCCGTTCTGGCTGGACGGTACTTGGCCACGGCTTCGGTGTCGAGTCGATGAATTCCTCTTTTTCAAGCGAACCCGAGGATCGAATCGAGAACATTACCCAGCACTGGGATATCATCATGCGGACCATGTCTCACCTACAAGCCGTTGCAATCGCTTCGCTACTGCCGATGCTCAAGCACGCAGATATCAGCTCACCGGATCCCCGCCGGGAATCTCACTCTCGTGCCCCCTCTGCCAGTATATCTATATCAGGCAAACGGGTTCAAGAAGACATCAAACCTTTCAAAATTCCAAAGACGAATGCAAAGATGGTTCAACTGACAGCAAATTGCCTTTCACAGGTGCAAAGAATTCACAAAGAGGTTGACGCAGCTCGCCAAAGAATTGTCACGGGTCTCAAAGCACACCAAGTTGTTACTGGACAAGGAAGATGGGGCATCTGGCGAGAAGAAGCAAGACTCGTTGGAAAATGGGCGGGGGGCAAGGATGAAGGGTTCTTCTTTTTCAATCTGCTCACTGGGTTTCTCGGCAATCACACCGAGTGGCTTCAGGCACTTGGACCTAGCTGGTACCGTCGTCGCCATCTTGAGCAACAGAGAGCCAACAAAGATGATGATATCTCGCTTCCGGCGCGGACTATCATTATTTCCGATAATAAACTAATGGCTCGACGCTTAATCTTCTTGTTGTCTGCTTTCCTACCTGTGAACCAGCAACTGATACCAGCTAGGATGCACCGGCCGAGCATCTCGACCTCCTTTGGGGCTTACTCACAATCCCCGCCAAATGTACCCATTCTGAGAGAAGAGTCTCTTCGTCGTCGGATCAATAAGAGAGGAAGTGTGACTAGAGGATCCCATGCACGCACCTCAAGCTTTCCAAACCCCCCCCTCCTGGGTCTGGACCCTGAGATTCATCATGATCGCCGAACTTCGGATGCCACGTCCATCAAAACGGCAAACCTTCCCATCCCTGGTAGTGACCTCAATACCAGAAAGAGCAGTGCCGCAACCACATCTACAGCAACTCCAGTCACGACGAGGCCTTACTTTTCTACCAGGCGACCAATCAGAGGAACAGGTCCTGTTCCACGACCAGGGAGCAGCGGTAGCCTTGCAACTGATGATTTGCTGCGCTCTTTGAAGAGAGGAGACAGCACCGGGCATTACAGCACAGCTAGTACTGACTCCCAAGGACAAAATTCACGATGGGGTAGCATGATCAGTGGATTTTGGGGTTCTAAGAGACGAGACTCGACGGCATCCACCAGTATCGAGCCACAACCTATGGAAGACCTCGAAATTCGCGATTCACCATATAAGAGCGGTTCACCTTCGAGAAAGGGGAAGCTGGCGGAGATGGTTGACGAGGTTACCCAAACTCCTATCCAGAAGACGAAGGACCAACAGGAGCGTGAGATGAGAAAGTCTGAATCTGGAAGTGCATCAACTGCCAGACCGGAAGACGAACAAGGTGAAGAGACCTCGGAGCAGACTATTCAAGTCGCGGAACGAATACCAGATCCTTCTGGTGCTTTTGAGTCACCAGTGAAGACGTCAATCAACGAAGTTGACGGTGTTATCGATATCGATGTCCCTCTACCGGATTTTCTATCATTCGAGACGGCTGTGAGTTCACCGTCGAGCAGCGGGTACCTGTCAACTCCTTGTCTTGGCAATGGTATGGACAGTTTTGAGAATTACTCTCGTTCCGGCCCGGATATTGAGACCACAATGAACGTCGGGGGATGGCTTCCACGCTATCATCCGGATTTTGCTCTTCAAGCCATTCCAGTACAGAGTGATATTTTGGAAGAAGTTAAGGTGTCCATGCGGGCTGAGCCGACACCTCTTCTTGCGTTCAACACACCTCTACCTGAAGGGGCTCGTCCCAGTAGGTGGGTTGAAATCAGCAGTGCTGTAATCGCGGACACGACCAGTTTCACCATTAAGCACATTCGATATAGACGACTCATAACACGGAAAGAGGTTCTGTTGGCGACGCCCAGCATTCCTCACTCGCTCGATTCTCGCTACGGCAATGTCTACGCCCCAGCCCAAGTCGCTCCCTCGACAGGTGTCTATGACGGTTATGTTGAAGAGCAATTCATCGAAGAGCCAATTATCTCAATGGATGAGACTCTCATCGAAGCAGTTGAGCGGATAATCGCGCAATCGGGCCCAGAGTCAAAGACTTCGTCTACGTGCTCTTCGCGATCCGCCTCGCGTGCAAGAGGTAGCCGGGAGCGGCCCAACTCTCAGAACAAAATCCCAGCAATTTCAGAACATAAAATCGAGGTGCCGAGAAATGAGTGCAAGAGGCTAGTGCTGAGTGCGCTGGAAGAGATAGTCAGAGAGGTTGCGGAGAGCCGGCGCGAGAGAGGCGATGCTGAAGTGGACATGGAGCGGGAGAGTTTCTTGAGAGAAGGAGTGAGGAGTTGGTTGTCAAATGTTGAAACTGGCGAGCCCTCTCACATCAATTAGGGAGCAGGTGCCGGATCGAACCGGGGAACATATTTCTTTCTTCTGCTGTAGCATGCCATGGCCTTTTTAGACGACGATACTCATGTGAAGCGATTGCGATTTTCACCCAGAGCATGTTTTGGCTCATGTATCAACAATAGAGGGAAAAAGAACCGCAGAGTCTTGCTTTAAGCTCCGGCGCGTAAAGAGTCTTGTATTTCTTTCCCACGTTTCTAGAATTTAGCGAGGTCGTTGTGGTGTCTGGGATCATGGTTAGTGTTTTTAGCGTTTGCTTTTTTCGGCCTAAAATTCATGCACAAATAGCTGGAGCTGATATGGTGTATATAATGTGATAATATGATATGATATACTAATGTGCTCGATATTACTAAGTGTGCTAGTTAGATAGAATTGAGATCAAATTTAGCTTTTGGATTTGTTGAAAGCTTCTTTGTTTGTAAATATAATTATGAGATCTGTTATGCTCTGTTTACTATGGATCTAGGTTTCGGTTAGCTTTTCTAGTGCGATAGCCGAGGGCCTGTCAGCACAAGATCCCTGGTCTTCTACTCTACCTACTCATTGATATTTACCTATATAATTGTATCATGTTTCAGCTTTACCATCTAGTGGATGGAGTGTTATATGTGGTTGACATTCCGATCATTGTTATCTACAACTTGTCCTGGGCTCAACTACCTAGGTAACTAGTAATAAGGGTCACCACTCGATCTCCGCTCTTCCGGCAGTCAGCCGCCTAACCGTTGGCACAAGAACATTTAAAGACTTCTCATTGTGAATACCGATGTCTGTCTGTTAACGTTCCGCCCAGGCGTCTCCTTCGCAGCTAATGACCTACACCTCTTCATCTATTATTTGCTAGCTTCTGGCACGATTGTTTCGTACATAGAGTCGATTCGTGGACAGTTGAGTAATTCATGTTTCAAATACTTGCTTGGTTCTTGATGACTTCCGAGAGTCAGTTAGTGCATGTATAAATGGTGGGCAAAGTACAATTATTGTGCACCCGCATTCCCTTCGATCTCGCTTCGGAAAGGGTCAGATGGGGGGCTCGTTGAATTCAGAGTCGCGTCAGCCGCTGTGCGCTATTAGAAATCAAACCACTCCAGATGTTGGTTTGCTTTAAATAAGTTGTTTCTGAGGATGTCTAAAAGAGCGTGCCTATGCATGTACGGATACGGAAGTAAGAACAGATGAAACCACCACCGCGGTGCCAAGCTAAGAAAATGAGCGAGAAACAAAAATCAAAGAAGAGAACAGAGTCAATCACAGAATCCTTCCGACAGGAGTCGGGAAAGCCTGTATCCGTAGAACTGAACCAGTCAGAAGAGAAATCCCTTCTCCTTCGTGCAACCCCCTAAGAAACTACATCCAGCCAGTTCTTGGAAACCCCTACCACAAAAGAGATCCATCAAATCCGTAAACTATACCCTCAACTTTGTTCGGTCTGCCATCAACGCTGGTTGACTATCGCAGATGTCTTCTCATACCGACCGCACTTGATTCCTTAATTAACCGCTGTCCCTGGAATGCCACGGTAGCTGACCGCTTTGCTGCCAAGTTGGTAAGTTCCTCCCTTGGTGTCCTTGTTTTTCTTGCCGTAGCAAGAGCTGTTTTCGGCAGTAATGTATTGGTAGTATTTGATGCAGTTACTGTAGTCTGGAGTGTGGTTTCCGTCGTCCTGCTGGTTTTTGATAACGACTAAACATTGTGTCAGTGAGTCTGGTCGCCGAATACTAAAGTTATCAAAACCTACAGGCGACTTGCGCAGGTTTCCCTGAGCTTAGGACATATCCGGAAAAGACAATGGATGATGTGGCCATTCCGTGACCAAGCACAGTAGCCTGGTTGTCTAGCGAGTGCGTTATATGGTAGCAATAGGCTGCCGCCGCTGTGTTGTAACCGCTACCAGGACTACTCCCAGTCACTACGTCGTACACCGGCATCCATCCGGACCTTGGGCCACAGGACTGGATCCAATCACTGTCGCGCTTGCTCAAGGGAAAGTCTTCCGTGATGTTGTGGACGCCGAAGTCGAGGATGTCGAATTCGCCGCGCTTGAACTTCTTAAACTTGGTGCCGTCGGACAATTCACCTTCCCCGACGAAACCATCACCCTTCACACCGAGGCTGTCGTTGTCGTTTTCAGGCCGAATTCCGTAGTCAATGATGTCGCGCTTGATGCTGGGCTCTTCGTTTTCGTTACCGACTGAAGTAATACCGAGATCGATAATGTCGCGCTTGACAGGAAGATGGGCCCCAGAAACTGCAAGTGCAGTGGCAGCAATGATAAAAATGTTTGAGAGAAGCATTTTGAGAGGGACTAGAACTGTATAAGTTGGAGATACTTGAGAAGTGAGACCAGAGGTGTGTTGAGGCAGAAATGGTTGTTGTTGGGGACTTGAAAATTGAGGCTTGAGAAGTGTTGAGGTAGAAATGGTTGTGATTGAGAAATTTTGATTCAATATGGGACGGAAGCGGACTATTTGTAGTTTACTCAACCGTTGAAAAGGTGTCTTCTTTTCCATCTCAGTCTTGATCGGCCATTGTGTTCTCAACGACATCTATGAGGTATCTTGTTTTCACCACGTCCATATTCCTTCCTAGTCAATAGATTTGGTGTCGTTGGTCTAAGCATACGTGTTGGTGTTTAGAATATGATCCTTATGGAATCACTACAACACTTTTCTGGATGCAGATCTTGGAGCTGTAGCTCGATGTTGAGATCATTTCTATAGGCACCATTGCTGGTGAAGTGAGCATGAGGACTTTCCTCATCTGTCGGACGTGTCAAATGTTGGCCTTGGGGCAGTATGTTAGTGATCCTCTTGAGAGTGTGGTATATTTTTAGTGGCCATGTCGATGTTGGCGTTTGTGGTTATAAGAATCCTAAAGGAGTAGGACGAGTGGAGATGTTGGTCGTCGCACCTAATATCAGAGTCAGTTGGTACATTTTCACCATTTACATCACCAGCTTCACGACACCTATGCTGTATACCTCTCTCTTTCATTTTAGCGACGTTGCTATCCGAAATTTCTTCAAGTTTTGATCCTAGAGACCTACAGATATAACCACCAGATACGATCCAAATCAGAACCGTATCCAAAGCAGTAAACACTTCAAGGCACATACTATAATATATTAACCTTAAGGTAAGTAAGTTATAGAGGCGTTATCCTAGTCTATTAGTAAGTTGTTCTCTAAGTCGTCCTTAGCGCTAAAATAATTTAAGACCTTAATATAAAAGACCTTCGCTTTCTCTATAGTATCCTTAATTATCTAACTATTAAGTAAGAGAAGTAGTAATTATAACTAAAGTTAGAGCTTATATTATCTTATTACCTTATAAAGCTCGCTATTACTAGAGATATTATTTAAGACCTTCTTCTAATAAGCTCTCTTACTTTAGTAAGTAAGTTTTAAGAAGAACCTTGTTTCTTCTATTTATAATAAGCTATTACTTATTAAGAGCCTTAAGGCTAGATATTCTAAGTATATTACTTAGTACTTAGAGGTCTACTATAGCGTAGCTTTCCCTTAACTTATATTTAGTTTCCTTACTATCTTTATAGCTAAGTTAAAGAGTATTATAAGGTTATCTATAGTAATATTAATTTAACTCTTACTAGTATAGCTAGTTAAGTTATAAAGGTTTCCTATCTTATTTTATATTAAGCCTACGAACTATAATAACTTCTTATTTAATACTTTATAGTAGTCGACTTAGTCTAAGGGTATATAACCCTATCTTAGTAGAATTATAACTTATATAATATAATCTAATCTATTATAAAGTTCCTTTTATACTAGTGTTTAAGTATATAAGATATTTAAGAATATAAGGTTTAAGATATATCTAAGGTTATATACAAGTTCACTTAGTATCCTAATAAAATCTATTCCGCTTAATATAGCTTATTTAGTAATCTTTATACTTTAGTATAATAGAACCTTAATATTTAGTATAAATATCTTATACTAAATATTAAAATCTCTCTTAACTAGGTATTTTTAATAAGTTAAAAGTATAATATATAGTTAATTATCTTATTTATAAGCTTCTCTTTATAGATATTTAAGATAGAAAAGCTATTTATACTTACTTAGAGTATATCTCTACTACTTATAGCTTATTATTATTTCGTTTTTAAGTATACCTCTTTATAGATATATATAAGGACTTATAGCCTTTCTATCTTATATAATTCTTAGTTTATCTAATCCTAGGAAGAGATAAGAGTAAATATATTATACTTTAAGTATATCTTAATCTTAGTTCTAAGAGCTATTTAAAGTTCTTAGATATATAGAATATCTGTATTATTATTATATCTTATATTAAGTATTACCTTATATAAGTCTTCTTTTATTATATTTACTTATAAGACTTGAATATCTTAAGGTTTAAGCCTTATTTTATAGTTTTATAAGCTTTAAAGTTATAGAGATCTCTTATTTATCTGTTTATTAAGAGGATAGTTTATTAAGGTTTATATTAAAGATAGTTACTCTCTTTTTTATCTTAGTACTAGCTTTAGTTTTTATAACTCCCTTTGGTTAAGAACCTAGTATAATTAGTAAGTCCTTATAAGTAGAAACTATATCCTTACGTTTCCTTATTAAGGCTAGTATAAGTATAACGTTAGATACTAAGCTTATAGCTTAGCCTTAAGATAAGTACCTAAAACTAGTTCTAAGGTAAGTAAGAGGTTCTAAGTATATAAGTCTTTATACTTAAGATCCTTATATTATTAAATAGCTCTAAGCTCTTTCTTAGTTAATTATATTGGTTTTCTCTTTTATTAATAAGGTATTATTAAATAGTTTAGGTTTTTATAAGATAAGAATTATAATAGTTAGTATATTATAGCGCTACTATATAGTTAGCTCTAGTAAGTTTATTATACTAGTTATAGTAAATACTATAGTTTAAGTATCTTAAGTAGTAAGTATATTTTAAAGGTATATAAAAACCCTAGTAGCTTAGATTATACTTAAGTATTAGCTTAGCTTTATTAATAAGCTTTAAGTTCTTACTAGTATTAAATAGCTTAAAGGATTAGACTTTTTCTTAGAATAAGATAATATATGTAATAGTATTCTTAATTAAGTCTACTTTATTCTTATTATATTTACACTTAACTAGTTTATACTTAGTCTACTATATAAAGACTTTATTATAAATAAGGTCTATTATATTAATAATAGTATTATTAAATATACTACCTATTATTACTAGTATACTTAAGTAGATATAGTTATATTATTTCTCTAGTAGTTTAATATCTGTAGTATTAAAAAGCTTACTTATAAGCTATTAGTTCTTAGCTATAAGTAATTAATCTTTAATAATAATACTTACTAAGGAGATAGCTTAGTTTATATTTATTTCTTATATAAGTAATATATCTACTAGTTATAATCTATAAAGTTTCGCTAGTTCTTTTTATAAAATAAAGGGATAAGGTTATAAGGCTTTAGCCTTAAATATAATAATAATATAGATTTATAGCTTTTTTAATTTAAGTTAAGTTCTATTCTAGCTATAACTAGAGGTTATTATTATAGTTAGTATAAAAATAAGTAAGACTTCTCTATTAAAGAGAGTAGAGTTCTTAATAGCTAAGCTACTTTCTAGCTTTTTTAGAGTTTTTAAGCCTCTCTTTAAGACTTTATCTACTTATATAATTAATTTAAGGTTTATAAAAGAAGAGTTAGAGTTACTAGATTCTAGCTAGTTAATATTAAGTCTAAGGGAAATATATATCTTATTATTTATCTTAGTATAAAGTTATATAAATATATATTATATTATATTAGAGAGTAGTAAGTTCTTAGTGATTTCTATAGTCTCTAAGTTATTATAAAAGGATATTATAAGAAGGTCTATAGCTTCTATAAAAGTATAGTAGACTTAGTATATCTTAGTATTTTTACTTTATTTAGCTTAAATCTAGTTATTAATTATCTTTATAGCTAAGTAAGTATTATATATATTTATACTTAAGTTAAGCTTAAGAAGAGGAAAAGTATTTACTTCTTATTAATATTTCTTTAAAGCGTGTAAGTTAAAGTTATAATAAAGGGAGTCCTTATAAGGCCTAGTAAAGTTAATATCTTATATTCTTAAGAGATAAGAGGATATAGTTTCTGCTATTTCTAACTAATAATAATAAGCTAAACGAACTAGAGATAAGAAAGCTTAATTAGATATTAATAATTAAAGTTATTCGTAGTTTATAATACTAGAATTAGTTCTATTAAAGGATCCTTTAGATTCGAAAAATAATATAAAAGTAAGTAATCTATATAAGTTTTATAACGCTTACTCTATAGAAGGCTAGTATCACGTAGTAATAGCGGTCTTATATATTAATAATATTCAGTAAACGTAATTAAGATTCCCTTAGAGTTTATAATTAAGGTAGAAAGAAGGTAAAGGAGATAAAGAAGTAATATATAAAAGGTTAGAGAAAGTAATCTCGCTTAGCTCGAGTTATATTATCCTTATTAGGAATAATAAACTAAGCTATAGAAATGCTCTTAAATCGTTATACTACTCTCTTCTTCTAAAAAAGCTTGTTCTTAAGTATCTATTTATTTCCTTATCTTTATCTAAGTAGTTATAATTATTAATACTATTATTAAAGGCGTTAAGCTAAGCTAAAAGGTTCTTTAGCGAGCTAGCTTATATTAGGTTATTAAGGTAGAAATATAATAGCTTATATAAGCTATATTTAATGTTAAAGGCGCTATACTATATTAAATCGATATCTTAGTTTAGCTAAGATACTTAATAAGAGAGGTTTACTTATAGCTTATAATAAGTAAGTATATCTTTAATCTCTTACTTATTATCTCTAGTAAAATTAATAAGAGAAGGTAGCTTAATTACTTAACTTAGTAAGAAGTTATCTAGGCTCTTATAAAGCTTCGCTATAAGGAATATATTATATACTTTTATACTAGTAAGTAGCTTAAGTATATAAGAGCTTCTAATTTTCTTAATAATATAAAAGGGATTATTAGTAAGGAAGTTAAGCTTCTTAGAAGGTCTAAAGGTATTAAAGTAATATATATTAAGTTATACTTAATTATCTAGCTTAAAGTTTATAAGGTATTAAGAGCTATTATAAGAGTTAGCTATTTTCTATTAAGCTTTAATTAAGCTAGATCTCGCTATATTCTATATATTATACTATCGCGTAGCGTAATTAATAGCTTATTATATATTAAGCTTATTAGTTAGCGTAGAACTATCTAGTAAGTTAACCTTCTAGTGCTAATTTATATATAAAGCGTAGTTATAAATTACCTTAAAAGATAAGAGGCCTCTTAGGAAGTTATAAGGAAGTATTATCTAAGTATAATCTATTATAAGTAAGAAGTTAGATTAATTATCTTAGTAGTAAGAGATAAAAATATAAGCTTTTATTAGAGATACTAGTTATATATCTTTATCTAGCTATTTATTTAAAAGTAGTTAGCTATAGAGAGTTACTTTTTAATACTTATAATTTATATAAAAGTATTTTAAAAGCGTA